TGCCAAAGCAATCATTTTACAAACGAATTAACAACGGAGGAAGAGATCCTTGGCCAAGCTCGGTTTTAAAAACGTTGATTCAACTTATGAAATTGCATCATCTTATGACAAAAAGTTTGCCACACTTTCCAAATCGTAAAAAATCAAATATAATGTTGGGATTTTTTTTTCTTGTGTGCATGTCTTGGCTCCTAAAAGCTTTGTAATAAAAGAGTGGAAACAAATTAGTTTGATTTTGGGTTGTAAGATAGTTTAACTTTCAAATTTGAAGTCTTCTAGATTTCTTATGGATTGAGTTAATTATTTTATGTATTTTAATATTTATTTTGGTGATATTTTAGATATATTCTCTTATGTAGAATTAAATAAAACGAATTGAAAGTTAGTTTAAAAACTCTAAGTAGAGTTTATAATCCGTCTAGACAAGTTGAGATGTAAATTGTAAGATTAGCTATTCATAATAATGGTCACTTTAAACTAGTAGTTTGCACTCTCTAAGTTTTATTGCAATTATAATATATCTTTATACTATTAATTATAAAATCAAACAATATTCAAGTAATGAAAGCAAAGCCGTAAACTTAAATAACACATAGAACTTAAAAGAAAAACTAATATTCATTAATGAAAAATTTTGCTTACAAATTGAAATCCTTCTTCTAGACATGATGTTCAAACATGAATTCAATGCTTGAAGAGCACATAAATGAATTTGATCTTGAAATGGGAAGCAAGTGACTAATGAACAACCCTATAAATTTATTAGCCGACCATATTTTTGCCTATTTGCTATTGTCTATAAGTTATAACATAACAAACTTTCAAGTAAAGAATACTCAAAAGCTATTTGTAGTTTGCGGATTCAATTGTTGTTAGGTTGATGTATTTCTCGTACTCCACGTTCTTTTGTAATTGTCCACTTTTTTCTTATTGTTAAAAAATTTAACCCACATAATTATTTGTAACTTTCTTGTTTAATTAAAAAAGTTCATGATTAGTAAGTCTTTTAATATAAGTAAATCACCTAACAAATTAATTAACAAACCTCCTATGTGCTTATCAAATTATTAGATTTTTAAGACCTAATTCAAATTTTGAATATAACACCTAATTAAATTAACATAAAATTTGTAATAACCTAAAATTTTCTTATTTTTTATTTATTTATTTATTTATTTATTTATTATTATTATTATTTTGTTTTTTTGTTTTGTTTTTAATTTGAAGTTTATTAAGGAAAAAGAAAAAAAGAAAGAAAATGATGAAAACAAATTCATTTAGGGGTGCAATTGAAGTAATTAGGGGTGTAATTGAGTCAATTAGAAAGTTTAGACCTTAAATTGCACCTCCGGGGACCTAATTGTTGAGATTGTACTGAAATTATTTCGCGAGAGGCGTAATTGTTGAAATTGAAATGCGAGGACCAAAGCTGGAAGTTTGGAGCGAACGACGAGGATCAAAATGGAGCAAACGACCCGTCATTCGCTCCAAGGCGATTCTCTTCGAAAATCTTTGGGAGAATGCGCCCAAATCCTCCATGAATTTCGTGTTTTTGATTGTGTATTAATCATGGATTTTGTTGCCAAAACCAACACTAACGAGGAATCAATGAGAATTTCTTGTTTTGATTTCACAATTAATCATGAATTAAAGAGGAAAATTTTTGACGAGAAAATTCGGGGATTTCGTTTCAATTTTAGGAAATTTGTTGACTATAAAAAGTTTGATTTTCACGGAAAGAAGGGAGGAAAAAATTGGGTGAATAATTCGAGTAGAAAGGTTTCGAAAATCATAAGCAAAAGGCTTAATTTTTAGTTTTGATCATCGCATTTTTCCGAGTTCTGAGTCTGCAAGTTCATATTTACGGGTTTGTGTTCTTCAACCCAAAAACAGACTTGAGGCATCTTTAACTTCAATTCGGGAAAGATTTCGGTTCGTTAGGACGAAGGAAAGGAAACCGAGGGCAAGATTTTAATAAAATCGTGAGAAATAAGCTTCCTTGGTGCTGCGTTTACGGGTTCGTCTTGGTGTTCTTCGGACCTTTCCGAGTGAGCCCCGAATTCGTTCCCTATTCTTTTGATTTGGTTGTTAGCTTTAAATCTAGATGTCTTTACTTGCTATTTTGAATTGAAGTGCGTGTGTGATTGAGTCCGTTGCTTGAAAGGGAGTTTAATTTACGGAGAGCTTGAAGAACTAGAGAGAGAACTTGAAGAACGAATTAAGAATAAGAGAGAGAGAGTGTTAGAAGGCCACTTTGATCCATCCGTATTTGATTTTTTTACTCGAGCTTTGTTTACGGGCTTAAGCCCGACGATTAAAAGAAAAAACAAGAAGAGAAAACGCTTTGGGTCCGTACTTGTTTCAATCCGGCCCGTGTCTCCCACCCAAAAAAAAAAGAGAAAAGGGGTCAGGTGATTTCAGCCTGACCGCACTCTCTACCCAAAAAAAAAAAAAAAAGAAATTCAGCCCAACCCGAGGTAGAAAAAAAAAGAAAAGAAAATGGGGCCCGGCCTACACCCTTTCTTCAAAAAAAAAAAAAAAAGGGAAATGAGAAAATAAAAATAGAATTAGGGAAGGAAAAAAAATAAGAAGAAAAAGGGAAAAAAATAGGGATGGGTGTAAAAAAAAAAAAGGTGGTGGGTTAATATTTTAGGTATAGGATTTTTTTATTTATTATTATTACTTTTATTATTCATTTATTTTTTAACCTGTTTATATAGGATGATTTTTTTTCTTTTATGATTTATTTTTTTAGCCTTGTTTATTTTTATTCATTGTCGTTTTTTTATATTAATTTAGAATTTCTATTTCAATTTTTTATTGTTTTCTTTTCTTTAATATAAATTGTTTTTTTTTTAGAAAAAAATCTTGACGAAGTCTCCTATCGATAGAGGCCGACGTCATAAAAAAAATGTTTAAAAATTTCGACGAAGCCTCCTATTTGATAGGGGCTGAAGTCATCAAAATCACTTTTAATTAAGACGTCTTCGAGCACGTCGGTTGTGTCGAGGCTTTTTAGTGGATCCAATGTTTGAATCGACGTGTCACCCAACGAAGGGGATCGACGATTGTTTAAATATGATGCCACGCCCAAAACTAAAAAAATTATTTAGGTTAAAAGATAGGAGATTAAAATTTAGAAAATAGCTTGACATTGATTTTAGGAGATAATTCAAAACTAAACCGTACATGGTACCTTTTTTCGAAAAGGACGGTTTTAGGTGATTTAATATCTTCCTAAAAATGTAATCAATTCCTTACCTTAAGAATCTACGAACCAGACCTACTTTTAGGATCCTAATCCCTTAAATACTAGGTGGCGACCCCAAAACTCGTAAATAATTTTATAAATAATTAATTAACGCTCGAACTTTTAATTTTTCTTTTGGAGGTCCCATCCAACGTCATGTAGCGACAAAATCAATATTTAAAATGATAAAATCTTTAAAATTGTGTTTCAATATGCGATTTTAAAAATAAAAATGGCTTGTATGAAAATTTGTTCATAAAAACAAATAACCAATTAAAGTGGGTGCTGCCTCCCACACACACACACACACACACACACACACACACACACACCCCCCCCCCCCCCCTAAAAAAAAAATAAAAAAAATAAAAAAAAATAGTAGTTTCGACAAAATGAACGGCTAAAATATAGATGATCGTATGAGTATCTACTGATGCCAGCAGCCACGCATTCTGAAGAACTAAACCAGAACTAAACGGATCGAGGATGCGAAGGTCAAATAAAACAAAGCCCGCACGAGCTGCCAAAAGTAGTTTTTTAAAAATATTCAGTTCCATCTTTTAAAGTCGCACTTTAATTTGTCTGGTAAATTATAAATTAGTTATTTCAATTTTTAAAAACGATTTAATCAATTTTTTTGTTTTAAAAACTAATTATTTATACTTAGTTTAATATTATTTTATTTAAAAAAATATATTTTTTTCTCATCAATTTTTTTATAATATTTATTTTTTTCTTTTTTCTATTTTAAAAAAAACTAATTAGAAAAAAATTAAATAATCAGTTTATGAAATAAGAGAGACTAATTAATTCTTTTGTCTTTCTATAATATATATTTACATTTTTTGTTTTTTAAAACAAAAAAAAACTAATTAGAAAAAAATATAAAATCGATAAAAAAGTACTAAATAATTAGGTTTTGAAAAAAAAATTAATTAATTCATTTTTTAAAACTAGAAGAAGTAGTTTATAATTTAATCGTATTCTGTATTAAGAAGAAGAAGAAGAAGAAGAAGTATTATGTTTCATGCTAGCATGGACTTTAAGCTTCTGAAAATGGGAACATGGGCTTTAATTAATTAGAAGGATGCCTAAAACTGAACTAACTATCAAATTTATCGGCCTAACAAGACCTTGGGTACTTGACCAATCCATACGTTGCGTGTTGCTTATCTAGTAAGGAGGGGCATCTATCTGATGTGAAGAGAGTAACAAGCTCTAAACAGTTGCCATCACAGCTAATTAAAATCCCCACAACACTTTGTCCTCGGCTAACATGCAACCATGCATTTCCCATTTTCCCTAATATCAATCACCTCGCGATCACGAACAAGGACGACGAACGTTTTTCTTTCATAATTTTTGTCTTACGCGCTCTATTTTGTTCAACTACTACCATGCACGAAAACCGCCCCAACGTTTGAGATGACGGTAACCTTAGGTTATTACTTTCAAGTTGATAGTTGGAACCAACACAAATAACAACAGAGAAAGAAATGTCTCGGGCAAATTAGAGAAAACACGCTCGGCATGACCAATTAGCTTTACGCATCTACCACCTGATTTGGTTGGAAGCGCGGAGATGCATGAATCTCTGCAAATTAACAGAGATAATAAAGGATTTTTTGGTTAGCAAATGAGAGGAAATTGTTTGTTTGTTCGTTTGTTTTTTAAATTTTTATGAAGGCGTGATTCCCCACTCGTGCATCGGTGCAGGTCCCTCTTAAAGAGAAAAGTGACAAGGGAAGCAATGACTTCCCAGTCTAAACATCAACACCCACGAGTTCTGGCTGGAGAAGTGAGATGACAGCGGTGCAATTGAGAGTGTGAATGGTTTGCTTTAATGAGTTCACAATTTGGTACGTTGTTGAACTGTCCAAGCCAGTAGAAATCTCATCCATAAAAAATGCCTTTGATGGTCCGACCATCATTTCACCGATGGTCCATCGTCGCTGATTAGTTGTAACTCAATCTCCATCAGTCCTTTCGTTGTATCAGGGACCATTAATTCCTTTTCATTCTACTAATCTGCGACATTCAACAAGAATGGACAATAACGAGAGAGAGAGAAACTACTATAAGATAATGAATATTTATATACTTTTCATATATTCATTATTTATAATTTTTAATATATTTTAATTCATCATTTAATATAAAAAATTAAAAATATAATGTAAATGATTCAATAATATATGTATTTTTAATTATTCATAATTTTTTTTAATTTTTTTTTAATTTTGAAATCAATAAATATGTTTGATTATTTATTAATTTGTGTAGAAGTGTTTTGTAAAATTGAATTATTTTTTTATAGACTTGTGAAAACTGTTTTTAGTTACTATTATTTGTACTCAATTTCTTTCATAGTAAAATCATTTATATATATATATATATATATATATATATATATATATATATATTACTATTTTTTTTATAACAAAAAGTAATTTAAATGAAAATGTAACTTAGAATTCAGCCCTAACTAGGTTTCGGGAGAGAATAAACAAAATAATTGTTAACCAGGGGTTTCGTTTTTTATTAAGACATGTTAACACCCCTTCTATACTTTTTCGAGCTATTTTTGTTCACAACTGAAGGCGATGATTGCTACAATATCCAGTTTACTGTTGTCATTTTATATAAATTATTATACTCCTTTGCTTGCATGACGTTCGTATATACACACGCACCACCAATACATGAATTCAAGATACCAAACTCTAGCAAGCAACATATGCTGGCATGATAATTAAATATTGAAAAAGACAGCCTAACGCAAGTATCAAGATATCCTCCTGGATGTAGTATTAATTTCAGAAGCTGCAAAAGAATTATTAAGATTATAGTTAATTCATTTAAGAAAAAGCATTTTAGAAATAAGCGCTGTACTATTAATGGATTCTGTGAGCCCACTTTGGAATTTAGTCCATAAATTGGTAGTTGGAATACTCTGTAAAGATGATATGACATTTGACAAATTCCAAACCTCTTTCTTGTAATAGGTGCAATCGTGGGTTCTGCTCAAAGACACATACACAATTTTATTCCATAGAATCCATTAATCTTTCCAGAGTGTTTCAACAACCAATCAGTATTCGTATGAAACGGTCAATGTATATTATTTGTGGGGTTGTAGCTAGTTTAACTAAAAAAAATTATTTGACGTTGTTCTTATTTTGATCAGACCACTGAGAAAAGGATTTAGGAAAGGGAATGGCGATCTCATAATTCAGTAAATGTATATACTCCTGTGTGGTTTGTCAAAACCCACAACTCTGGCCTAGAAAAATTCAACGGTCCCGAAGACAAGGAAATTTCTTATTGAACAAAACGATCAAATGAAATACTAATGCACTCCATCTTTTGTTTTTTGTTTTCTTTTGAGAGAAATATAGTAACATCACATGAAGAAGTCCATGAGAGCTACCAGGCATCGGCACGATGGATTTTTATGATGCTCAAGTATAAATAGCAGCATCTCGATCCCTATGCAAGGCATGCATTTAAGAAGTAAAACTTCTTAGACTGGTGTGAATAGTCTATCTGTGATTAGATTGAATTAATGAATTTAATCTGGAAACACGAAAAGTTATATGAAAATATCGATCCCTCCTCCTAGTCATAAAACTTTTTTTTAAAAAAAAATCACTGATGGTTGGAAATGTTATGGCAACAACATACACAGTCCATGAGTCGCATAATAAATTGGAATAGGAATGTGCAAACAAACCGAAAAACTAGCTAATTACTTGAGGAAATCAAATATTTGTTAGTTTAATTCGTTTTTGGTTCCAAAATTCAATACTATATAAAACTAAACCAATCAAATGTACACCAAAATTCAAAGATCAAACAACATATTTAGTTCCCAGCTGTTTATTAAACTAAAAAAAAATTGATATTTTTTTTAATCCTCAATTAAGGAAGCTAATTCTGGCATGGCCAACCTTGATTCATAGGGAATTTGTCGTGAATCATTGAAAAATCCTAAATCAATGTCCACTTTCAGTTAATATCTTGATTTTGTTTTTTGCCTGAAATCTCTATAGAAAAAATAACATGATAGCCAATAGAGTTACAAATTATAGATAATGCTGATCAGGCATCCAACGACTTTTGCCTTTCTTTTATGAAACTATCCATTAGTTGCCACTATGCCGAGGTTATCTATAGAAGCCCTGTAATATGAACGCAAAATAACAAATGGTACAGATGATTAAAAAAATAATAAAAAAGCACACTAAAAACTAATTAAGTGGGTTCTAAAAACTTCCGATGTATTTAATTCGAATTGTGCAGTAGATCATAGTCGAGATTTGCATATCTTTTAGCACGTCTTAGCAAGGCAGTGGAGGTCAAAGAAAAAGCAAGTAAGTGCGGTCCAAACTTCATATTTCTTCCTTCACCATATAAATATACAGCTAATTATGATGTTGATTCCTATAGATTTTTGTTCATATATATATTTTATAAAAATTTGTAGCATATGTTAATCGTTGTCATGTAATTTTAAAGAGTTCTAACTCGTTAATTGCTGATTCTGATTGAAAATCATTGGTTGGATTAAAAAACTGAAAATATAATGAAAAGATTAAATCAATATCCATCAGTCAAAGGCTTGTTTAAGGTCTTGATTTCCGTTATTTGTTTATTTTTAGAGAAAAGAAAATTTGTTAACCAAATCTTCACAGTTTGTCACACTTCAATAAATTAATGCCTATTTCAATAAACTAATCACCATTATGTTTTCTGATCATATATATATACAGTTACTATTAGCTATAAGGTGCATTGCCTTCATTTTTTGAAGAAAGTATAGCAATTTACAAATACAGTTTTCTTTCTATTTAGCTAAACAATCCAATGGAAGTTCTTCCAAAATGTTCAGAAGAACGAGAGCAAGACGAGGAAGAGGCACTAGAATGGGAACCACTTGAGAAACTTCCTACCTATGATCGATTGAGGAAAGGTATATTAACAACACCAAAACGTAGAGTTAATGATCAAGTCGATATCTGCAATCTTGGATCAGAAGAAAGAAAGTTTTTACTCGATAAGTTGGTGAAAGTGTCAGACGAGGACAACGAGAAGTTCTTATTGAAGCTCAAGAATCGTATTGATATGTAAGTTTAGTTCGTTTTCTTTTAACATGATTTTATTGTTAATTCATTGAGAGGTTTAACGTATCTTGAGTCATATACAATAAAGGTTAAACCTCCTACATATCTCTAACTAAGAAAATTTATAATTACTAAGATTTAAACATTTAAACAAAAACTAAAAGATCTAGAAAGAAATTAACAGTGAATGAATATAGATTTTAATTGTTTATTTTCTTACATATTACTGTAGATGAAAATGACAATTATGTAATTTTTTAACTGTTTTTGAACATTGATTTGCAAATTTTGCATTACATTTCCTTTTGATTCCTTATATTTTTAAAAGCAATTCTTAGGATAATGTTATTTCTATTATCAATTGGCGTGTCATTTAAATTTATTTTGGTTTGTTGGAACGAAGGGCATCACTCTATTTTTTCTATTCATGGTCATCTTAGTATAATTCTCTTGTCGATCTCTAATTCAGATTTTTTCTTGTTTTTTAACAATCATATTCATAATCCTCCATTTTATTGGAAAGGACAATATCTGTAAAGTATATCTAGGTTCAAAATACATGCATGTTAACTACGTTAGCCTTTAAAAAAGATTTGAACTCATAATAATATATTCATACACCCTAAGGCTAAAACTCTTGAATTCTTCATGATCTTGTACGTGCAGTGATGAAGCTACGATATGTTTTTGTGATGGGCCAACTATGTTACCTCCATCTATAACGTGTTTGCACCAGCATGCATACAATAATTTCTATAAAATTTTGATCAATTTATAAAAGAAATATTTCATTTCATATACTATTAATTACAAAGTAAATAGACCAATTAACGCACAGAACTTAAAAGGTCCCTTTGATTAAAATTAAAAGCAAAAAAAAAAAATGAAACCAAATTGAGATACAAATTGTAAATATTTAATGAAGATATGCATGCCACCTGACTCAAAATTAAGTTCTCGCGTTAAATGAGTCTTTTTCTTACTATTTGAACTTTTTTTTCAATAAGTCAATAGACCAAATTTATTAACACTAAAAATTGACGAAGAAAACAGAACAAGCTAACTGCAGAAAAGGAGCAGCTTCCTTGAAAATGTTTTTTTGTCATAATTCCACATTATTTGATTCAACTTGTTTTTTGTGATGAATTTCTTTACTTTTGGTTTCTCAGGGTTGGCATTAAGCTTCCAATTATTGAAGTCAGATTCGAGCATCTAAATGTCGAAGTACAAGCTTATGTAGGGAGCAGACCGTTGCCTACAATTCTCAATTGCATTTCTGATTTACTTGAGGCATATAGTTACCTGCAAAGATCACAATTCTTTTTTTCTTTTTTCAAAAACTAAATAACATTGATCACTAGTTAGTTCTTTTGAAAAACATAGCTATTAATTTAGCAATAGATGCATGTGTTTCCCTGTCAAGTTGTTCTTATACCATACTTTTTCTTCCATTTCAAAGCGTTTGTTGAATTGTCTTCGTATCCTTCCAAGTAGAAAGAAACAACAAACCATTCTTAAGGATATTAGTGGAATCATCAAGCCATCGAGGTGAGATGAATACAAACCTATATTCTGATGTCCTAGCTTCATATTTCAGATTTTGAATGCCTTATTTAGCCATTTCTCAGTTTGTTCTTATGTTGTTGTAGGATGACATTGCTTCTTGGTCCTCCGAGCTCTGGAAAGACTACATTCTTGTTCGCATTAGCAGGAAAGCTTGATCCTACTCTACAGGTGATGAAAAGTCATAACTGCCTTGTATCTTTTATAGGCGTTTTTAATTATATTTTCTTATTTACGAAAAAAAGAGAGTATATTTTGCAGTGTTCTGGTACTGTGACATACAATGGTCATATGATGAATAAGTTTATACCCCAGAGAACGGCTGCCTATATCAGTCAATATGATCTTCATTTCGCAGACCTGACTGTTAGGGAATCTTTGACATTTTCTGCAAGATGCCAAGGTGTCGGATTCCGACATGGTAAGATTGATGGAATGATTTATATTTTCTTAAACTGTCTTCAAAATATATTCTGGTTGAGTTATTAAAATCGAACGACCTGCAGAGATGCTGACTGAGTTATTAAGAAGAGAGAAAGAAGCAAACATTTTGCCTGATCCTGATGTTGATGTCTTCATGGAGGTGAGGTAGATGCCTTAGTTGAAGACAATTGTTTGAAAGAAGAATGGAAAGCATAATTTATTATGATCAAAAAAAGATATAGTAATTTTGTATGTCACTACAAAACTCTGTACTTGGTGTTTTATTTTATGTCATTAGAATGTCAAGAGTTTCCAGGCTAGAATAATTGGTGTAAATAGCAGATGATTTTAACTTTTCTTTTTCATCTTTTATGCCATAGGCAATGGCAACTGAAGGTCAGGAAGCCAATGTGGTAATAGATTATTTTCTGAAGGTAAATCAACACTTGAGAGTCCATCTCAAAAGAATTATAACGAGCAAAATATATCATATAAATTTGTAAATACCAGCCCTCTTCAATTTACAGATGCTAGGCTTGGAAGTTTGCGCAGATACCCTTGTGGGGAATATCTCAGGAGGACAAAAGAAGCGTCTTACTGCCGGTAACAATTCACCAATCATTTCTAAAATCAAAAGGCATATAATTCCTTTTGGAAAATGATTGTATGATTAGATCCTAAACCTACAAAAAATTGAAACTATCTTATCTTTCTGTTACTTTTTTCCTAGTGACGGTAGGAAGATTTTTTTTTTGATCAATTACTAGCTCCGCGCATCTACTAAAAATTATGTTTTAAACTATTTTTTTTAAAAAAAAGTTGTGCATAAAAAAATATTTCAAATAAAATAAAAAGAAACTTTGACATTCACATTTCATCAATTAGGGGGAAAAAAACACAATATAATGAGGAAAGATATTTCTTATAATTCTCCATCAAGATTTTCATATTTTGGAAAAGTTGTATAATAACTTTACTATTGTTGTTACATACAGCAAATTATATTAGATAAATGAAAAATTTATTAATAATATTTAGAATGAACTTAATTACCAAACTATAATTGAAATAGATTATATTATGATAGAAGAAAGAAAATAAAATTATTCTAAGGGCTTTGAGAAAAAAAGAACTTAATACCAATTATAATAAACTTTAGCAGTATTTTTTAAATCACTTGGTACCAAGCATGGTTCTATCTACGGTTTTGACATTGGTCTCTTGATATACATGTATATAAGCGATAGAATATATATATATATCAAGATCATTGGACTAATATGTCCAAATTATTAGTATAGGGACTGTTTTGTATTCTAGTATGCAGGCTTAGGGCTGAAGTAAAATTTGAATTAGACAAAATTGGGTAGAAGAAGAAAATAAGGTAAGAATCCAGCAAGTGCGAATCTGTATGCTATGAAACTATGTTATTCTATAGTGCCACTATATCATGGTCCTTCCTTTTAGTCATTATTAGGATTATTTATAAATCTGCAATAATCAATTGTAGGTGAAATGCTGGTTGGGCCTGCAAGAGCATTGTTCATGGATGAGATTTCTACTTGTTTGGACAGCTCAACAACCTCCCAAATTATGAACTCACTGAGGCAACACGTTCGCATTTTTAATGGAACTGCTGTCATCTCTCTCCTTCAGCCAACACCAGAGACTTATGACTTATTTGACGACATTATTCTCCTGTCAGACAGCAAAATTGTATACCAGGGTCCTCGTGAAAATGTCATTGAATTTTTTGAACAGATGGGTTTCAGGTGTCCTGAAAGAAAAGGAGAAGCTGACTTCTTGCAAGTAGTAAGCATAAACATGGCGCTTTTGTTTGGTACAATTATTACAATATGATTTCCGATAAGACATGCCATTAGTATGGGTGTAATATTTGGGAATAATGAATGAACTCATTGCAGGTGATATCTAAGAGAGATCAAGAGCAGTATTGGGCACGTAAAGATGAGCCTTACAAATTTGTCACGGTCAACGAATTTTCCGAGGCATTTCAATCATTCAATGTGGGACGAAGGATTATATACGAGCTTTCCATCCCGTTTGACAAAACCAAGAATCATCCAGCAGCTTTGGCAACCAAAATGTATGGGGTTGGAATGCTAGATCTGATTAAAGCTAACTTGTCAAGAGAATACTTGCTCATGAAGAGGAACTCATTTGTCCACATCTTCAAGCTTTGCCAAGTAATTAATTACTGACAGTTCTTGCATTGCCATGATTTCATTTCTTATTTTCTTTCAAACTTTGCGTAGATTATAACATTACTTACTTTCTCTTTTCTTCCTTCACTAGCTTAAAATTATGTCAATCATTGCTATGACACTCTTTCTACGGACCGAAATGCACCGAAAGTCAGTCACTGATGGAGAAATTTATATTGGAGCTTTATTCTTCACTACAATGTCAATCATGCTTAATGGTATGTCAGAGCTATCTCAGACCATTGCAAAGCTCCCGGTGTTTTATAAGCAAAGAGACCTCCGATTCTATCCTTCATGGGCATATTCTCTTCCTCCATTCATCCTGAAAATCCCTCTCTCATTCGTTGAAGTTTTCGGATTGGTGTTCCTAACTTATTATGTAATTGGATTTGACCCGAACGTTGGAAGGTAAAAAAGAATGTTGAATTTGTTGGAAACTTGTGGAAGGGATTTTTTGTGATCTAACTAGTACAACAAGGCAACTGCACTATTTCCTGCAGGCTCTTTAAGAAGTACCTTCTGCTTGTACTAATTAACCAGATGGCATCTGTACTATTTCGATTTACAGCCGCCGTTGGAAGAAATATAATTGTTGCTAACGCTTTGGGGACATTTGCTCTTTTTGCACCTTTTGCATTGGGTGGATTCATCATTTCAAGAGGTATGAAGAGTACTTATTGTATTTATAGAGGTTCACATTTTGCAATCAAGCTTGAAATTAAGGACCCTTTTTTTTTTATGCCACAGATAAGATTAAGAAATGGTGGATATGGGCTTACTGGATCTCCCCATTGATGTATGACCAAAATGCCATTGTAGCCAACGAGTTCCTTGGATATAGTTGGAGTCATGTTAAGCTTCTTGAACAAGCCATTAATTTATTATAAATTTCACCCCTTGGTTCTCAATAATCAAATGATATCTGAAGTTTCTTTTCAAATCACAGATTCCGAAAACGTCAAAGTCAACAGAATCACTAGGAATTCAAGTTTTGAAGAGTCATAAGTTCTTCACAAAAGCATATTGGTATTGGATAGCAATCGGGGTAATCAGTGTATATGTACTTCTATTCAATGTCTGCTTCGCCCTGGCTCTCACTTTCCTCAATCGTGAGTGTCTTTATCTTCTCAATTTCTTGCTTTTTGAGATTGATCAGAGCTTATGTTAATGTGTTCCAAATCGTTTCGGACAGCAATTGAGAAGCATCAGGCTGTTATATCTGAAGAGTTCAAAAGTGAGAAATCCGGTGATAAAACAAGGGCCATTCAGTTTTCAAATCGTGGAGGCAACCCCACAACAAAAGCAGGTAAACAATTCAGTTGAAAGTATGTTAATCTTCTTATGTCCTTTTTTTTAGTGCTTATTCATGAGGTATTAATTACCTATAATATGAATTTACAAGCAGAAAGTGGAGTTGAAGATTTTAGAAGTGGTTCAGAGTCCACTAGCGAGTTCCACGGCAACATGAACAAAGGAATGGTTCTTCCATTCGAACCACATTCCATCACCTTTGATGAAGTTACTTACTCTATTGACATGCCACAGGTATCAAAATAAGATGACATGCTGCTTTGATGTGATGTGATTCACAAATAACAGGACTGCTTATGTTACGTTGAAATTTTCAGGAAATGAAAGTTCAAGGAGTTGTTGAAGATAGATTGGTGCTTTTGAAGGGTGTGAGTGGTGCTTTCAGGCCTGGTGTCCTTACAGCTTTGATGGGTGTTAGTGGGGCTGGAAAAACGACTTTGATGGATGTGCTGTCTGGAAACAAAACTGGTGGATATATTGAGGGAGACATCAGAATTTCTGGGTACCCTAAGAAGCAAGAAACTTTTACTAGAATTGTTGGATACTGTGAACAAAATGACATTTACTCTCCACACGTTACCGTCTATGAATCCTTGCTCTATTCATCTTGGCTTCGTCTACCCCTTGAAGTGGATGCTAAAACTAGAAAGGTAGGTAGGCATCTATAGTCTTACATATGCATGTCAGTCTTCTATTTTTCAGAGCATGTACAAAGTTTATGCTACTATTTCCTTTTATTACTATTACTATTATTATTATTATTATTATTATTATTATTATTCTTTCTTGTGCTTTTGGCTTGCCCAAAATCAATAAATATTCAATCAAGTTAATATGAGTGGCTAGTTCAACCGGCATTTCTATTTGATAATATATCTTTTGATAAAATTATAATGTTCCTCTTCATTCTAGCAAAGATCAATAATTGGTTGTCTTATTTATAACATTAATTAATGGAAATCTCCCAATCAATAGGCTTACACTGAAGGACTTTCGTAATTATATTTGTACTGCGAAATTTTGTTGCAGATGTTTATTGATGAAGTCATGGAGCTTGTGGAGACGAACTCATTGCGGCAGGCACTAGTTGGGTTGCCTGGTGTGAATGGTCTATCCACGGAGCAGCGTAAGCGGCTAACAATTGCAGTTGAACTTGTTGCGAATCCTTCTATAATATTCATGGATGAGCCAACTTCAGGACTAGAGATGCTAGAGCTGCTGCAATTGTGATGAGAACTGTTAGGAATACCGTGGACACAGGAAGAACAGTAGTATGCACCGTCCATCAGCCCAATAAGGACATATTTGAAGCTTTTGATGAGGTAAAAAATATTTAACAGATTTTCTGAATCAGAACTCTGTCGTGGCTTCATCACAAAAATAATTTGGTTTTTTTTGACATTGTAGCTATTCCTGATGAAGCAAGGAGGTCAAGAGATATATGTAGGGCCATTCGGTCGCCATTCTACCCATCTAATCAAATACTTTGAGGTATGTTTGATGTGATCAATAATCTGCAAACACAAACAACTTACGCTATCCTCAATCTTTGTTTATTCTAACCAATGACTAATTCGTATGCCATCTCTACTCTTCAAGGAAATTGAAGGAGTCAGTAAACTTAAAAAGGTTATAATCCAGCAACCTGGATGTTGGAAGTTACTACACCAGCACAAGAAATGGCTTTGGGGATTGATTTTGCTAACATTTATAAGAATTCAAATCTGTACAGGTACTAGTATTACAAAAATACTCGATTACTTAAGGTCAAAGAAACAATACAACAATCCGTTGACATGGAATTATAGAGTGCATAATCTAATTATAGTTGGTGACCTGATTCAGGAGAAACAAAGCTCTTATAGCAGAATTAAGTGCACCTGCTCCAGGCTCAAAGGACCTCTATTTCCCTACACAGTACTCAACATCATTTTTCACACAATGCATGGCTTGCCTGTGGAAGCAACATCGGTCATACTGGAGGAATGCACCATACACTGCTGTGAGATTTATTTTCACAACCTTTATAGCATTGATGATCGGAACAATATTTTGGGACCTCGGCTCCAAATTGTAAGTTATAATGGAGGTGCTAAAACAATATAAAAGTTCAGATATTCTACTAGTTTTTATATGCTTGTCTAATGTACCTTACGAACTGTAGGAATAATGTTCAAGATCTTTCCAGTGCAATTGGTGCAGTGTACACAACAGTTTTTTTACCTTGGTGTACAAAATGCAGTATCTGTACAACCAATATTAGCTGTTGAAAGAACTGTATTTTACAAAGAAAAAGCTGCTGGAATGTATTCAGCTTTTCCCTACGCCTTCGCACAAGTAACATATCTTGTCACATGCATGTTCTTGGCTTCATTAATGAAACTAAACTGCATTTGCGTTTTCTTTACCAAATTTCGTTTTTTCTGTTGTAGGTCCTGATTGAGCTTCCACATATTTTTGTTCAAGCTGCGATTTATGGTTCTATAGTGTATGCAATGATTGGATTTGAATCCAGTGTTACAAAGTTCTTTTGGTATCTACTTTTCATGTACTTCACATTATTATACTTCACATTCTATGGAATGATGGCTGTCGCCATGACTCCAAACCAGCAAATTGCGGCCATTGTATCCTCAGCAGTTTCTTCAATTTGGAATCTTTTCTCAGGAGTTGTAATCCCTCGAACTGTTAAGTGTTTCCCAGGATCACGAAATGGAAAAAAAATGGTAATGGACAAAATTGAACAAGAAATGAAAAAAAAAATTCTATCAATTAAAAATATATATATTATTTAAAGTTTTGAACAAATAAATATTTAATATACATATAAATAAATAAATAATATTTTTTAAAAAATAAAGAGAATAAATAGCATCACGAATGACCTCACACATTCAAATTAATTGAAACCCTGGGAACTGTTTGGAAATCGTAATGGACAAAACTCTTTATGTCAACGTCAATTACTCATTGCCCAATATAACTTGGTGACAAAGAAATATAAGACCACGTCATAACGCACTAGTTTTGAATTTCTTACCATCTTATTCCATTCAACTTAACTATTTCTCTGTTTTCCTTTAAAGAAATTCTTTTAATCCTGTTCGGGCTTTGAACATCTTTAGACATTTTAAGCGTGGCAGCCAAGTAAACTCCCGATGGCTTACCATATATATATATATATATATATATATATATATATATATATATATATTGCAACAATATTAATATTACTTCGAAATACTATATTGAAACTTTTAGGTCAAAAGAGCTTATTACATCTTAACAAAACTAATAAATTAATCCCTACCGTTTTAAAAACTACTCTTATATCAAAATCCTTTAATTATCGAATCAACAAATAAAAAGATAAAAATAAATTAGTAGTATTAAGTTATGGGTCAACATTAATTAGAAAAATTTATTATTAAATAAATTTTTTTAAATGGACTAAACTGATATAGAGATGAGTTTTTAAAATCTTTTGACGGAAAATTTAATTGCAATTGATATATAAATTGGTTCAAAAATATCTTTATTGTTAAAAAAAAAAAAATACAATACATGATCAAAAGATTAGAGAATAAAATATATGGCTCCAGGAGGACCAAAATTAAGTCAGTTAATACATCAGCTTCCAAGTATCTACAAATCCATCTTAGTAACAGGAAATTCCAAAACAGCCTTTAGACTCGTCAAAATTTGCTAATCAAGTTATGAGAATTGAAAGAATTTTGTTAGGATCAATTAAGGTTTTTAATCAGGCAAGAAAACGCCAAAACCCACCGCATAAACCCAAAAATGGGTAAAAGCATTCGTTATATTGTCCCTAATTTTACTATTTTATTCATTTTAGCCCATTAACTTTAATTTCTGGCATGACATCAATTTCAGGTAACAAGAATTCCCTCAGCTCAGCCCAGCTCATGTTCATTATATTTATGCACATGTTGCTACATGTACAGCTATACACATAAAAATGGATGAAAAGACCACGATTGACCAGAAACATATGCCAAATGTCGTAGTAGGTGGGCTAAAATGATCAAAATAATTGATGCTGAGATAAAGTTGGGCCGCTATTCTTTTTTAAATTTGTGGAGCAGATTCAACATGTGTGTTCCGACAACAAAAATTATGTCCATCGGTATCTGTGTTATACGTCAGGGCGTCTGGCTAAGATTGATATTACTATTATTTTTAAAACAATTAATAATGCGTGGGTCTCATTTTATGATAAATGAGTTAATTATTTTAAAAATCTGTTCTTCTATACCTCCGTTGTCAACCCATTTTCATATTTCACTCTTTTATCTCCTTTTTTTTTCCTATTTTATTTTCTCAACTTTCTCGTTTTTTTTTTCTTCTCTTATTTTTTTTAGTGGAGATAGCAACATCTGAGATCTCAAAAAATATTTTATATCAACTTATTAATAATTTTTTTCTTGAAAGGGAAGCCTTTTTAAGGTTTGAATCTTATACAAATTCACACTAATGAAAAACAAAACATATCTAACTATAGATAATAAGATTCGAATTTCTTGATAAATAATGTTGCGAATACGATACCACGATAGAAAAAGTTTTATAGTATATCGAGAGTAATTAATAACATGTATAGTTGTTACTCAATGAATTCATTTTGAAAAGAGACATAAACAAAAAAAAAAAAAAAAGAGAAAGGGAAAGAGAAACAAGAGAGAGAAAATAAAAAAATTTAAACGAATGTGAAAATCTTATTATCATTTTTAATGAATATGAATATAATTTTTTTTATATATATCGATCTTTTTCATAAAAATAAATTTATGAAATAATTATTATACATATCAGTTATAAAATTTCTCAACATAATAGTTGAAAGTTCAAATAGATTTCCCTTCGTCAAATATAGAATAGGAAGCAAATAACCTTCTACGATTCTCTCTCTCTCTCTCTCTCTCTCTCTCTCTCTCTCTCTCTCTCTCTCTATCTATATATATATATATATATATATATTTTTTTTATTTATTTTTTTGCCTCCGTGGTCTCCTGTTTTGTAGAAAGGTAAACAAGTTTGACCTTTAAAATGAGAAGCTGCCGGTAGTGTGCTTAAGTATTATAATATATATCCTCACATTTTTCATGCATGGACGCTCCATTTCACATTGTCTCCCTTGAAGCTCAAGAAACCAAAATTATTTAAGCTGCCTATAAAAATTTCTTTGATTCAACTTCCAAAACCAAGAAAGGGGAACAGGGGAAACGAAATCTGGGCTTTGTTTTATTTTAGTTGTTGTTTAAGTATACTGATCATCATCAATGGAGAGTGCTGATATTTATAGAGCTGGTAGTAGTTTAAGAGATAGTTTAAGAGCAAGTTCGTCAGTATGGAGAAACAGTACTGTGGAAGCATTTTCAAGATCTTCAAGAGAAGAAGATGATGAAGAGGCCCTAAAATGGGCTGCCCTTGAGAAATTACCTACTTATGATCGTCTAAGGAAAGGTATATTAATGAGTGCGTCAAGAGGTGTAATTGGTGAGGTAGATATTGAAAATCTTGGAGTCCAAGAGAGAAAACAGTTGCTTGAGAGGTTGGTCAAAGTTGCAGACGAGGATAATGAGAAGTTCTTGTGGAAACTCAAGAACCGTATTGAAAGGTAAAGATTTCTCCATTGTTACTGATCATCCTATGCTACGTATATTACGTACATTCTTTGGTTTATAGAGAAAATGTCAGAAAGGAATCAAGTTTTTAGATCGAAACATGGACTTTTCGTACTAAATAAATAGAGAGAAAGCAAATTGGCTTTACTAATTAATTGGATATATATTTTTTACTTTCTCATTCATGACATAATTTGACAAGGGATTTATATAATACGAAAAGATTGATTTTGTTTGGAAAACAGAGGAACTCTGTTTTGGCTGTTGAGGTGCTTGATTTTCTGTAATTTTTGGTGTTTCAGGGTTGGAATTGAGTTTCCAACAATTGAAGTTCGGTACAATAATCTAAATATTGAAGCAGAAGCTTACGTAGGAAGCAGTGCTTTGCCTTCATTCTCTAAGTTCACTTTTAATATACTAGAGGTAACTACATTTGCAAACATTTAACATCAGTTATTAGTTCATTTTAATTTGGTCATGCTTTTCTTCTTAGCTAATCACTCATCCATCAATTTTGAAGGGTTTATTGATTGCTCTTCATATCCTTCCAAGTAGAAAGAAACCACTCACCATCCTTCAGGATGTTAGTGGAGTCATCAAGCCATCAAGGTTAGTTGATTATGATCTCAAATCCGTTTGCTTAAAACTTCCTCCAATTATTAATTGCCTGTTCTTAATTTCTGTGCTTTATTTGTACATTTTGAAGGATGACTTTGCTTTTGGGACCTCCAAGTTCTGGGAAGACCACTCTGTTGTTGGCATTGGCTGGAAAGCTTGATCCTAGTTTGAAGGTGGTGATATATTCTTGTAAATTTTATATTCCATGAGGATTTAAATTTTACTTTTGTTTAATTTGAGAATTTGAATTTTGTCATGCAGTTTTCTGGTCGTGTGACGTACAATGGTCATGAGATGAACGAGTTCATACCACAAAGAACAGCTGCCTATATCAGTCAACATGATCTCCACATAGGAGAAATGACAGTTAGGGAAACTTTGGCATTCTCAGCCAGATGCCAAGGGGTGGGACACCTGCATGGTAAGAAAAAAGGACTAAATTTTCTTTGCACATTCCAACAGAATAATCCAATCTGGTGATCTATTAGAATCTAAGCATGACTGAATAAAAAATTATGGGAATTCACAGAGATGTTAGCAGAGTTGTCGAGAAGAGAGAAAGAAGCCAACATTAAGCCCGATCCAGATGTTGATGTCTTCTTGAAGGTGAGGATATATTACTATTTTGTCTATCAGAAGAGTTCACCTTGTTAGTATAAGTTAGGATGAAGTGGAAAGTAATTTTCGTTTTCTGTTGTTTCTGGTATTACAGGCAGTAGCAACACAAGGTCAAGAGGCCAATGTCATCACCGATTACGTCTTAAAGGTAGTATCAATATGTAACATTGAACAACCAGGAAAGTCTTCAGAAATCGTGAATATAATAATATCCCTAAATTTTTTATGCTCTCTCTGAAAATTATAGATACTAGGATTGGAACTCTGCGCAGATACTCTGGTAGGTGATGAAATGATAAGGGGTATATCTGGAGGACAGAGGAAGCGTGTTACAACTGGTAAAAATCTCCATTAGTCCATTCCTAACATCAGGGAAAAATTATTTCATTTCACTCTCCAATTAATGTACAAAAATCTCCAACGATCTGTCATAGGTGAAATGCTGGTCGGACCATCAAGAGCATGGTTTATGGATGAGATTTCTACAGGCTTGGACAGCTCAACGACTTACCAAATTGTGAACTCGTTAAAGCAAACCGTTCACATTCTCAATGGCACTGCTGTCATCTCACTTCTCCAGCCAGCACCGGAGACTTATGACCTCTTTGATGACATTATTCTCCTGTCAGATGGCCAAATTGTGTACCAGGGTCCTCGTGAAAATGTGCTTGGATTTTTTGAACATATGGGCTTCAAATGTCCCGAAAGAAAAGGCGTGGCAGATTTTCTGCAAGAAGTAAGCATAAACAAGGCGGTTTCACATGGAACCTTTACTACAATAGGATCTCACATGGTCAATAAAAAGAGTCTCATTCAAGTATCACAATCTTCATGATCAATAATGAAGGAATTTTTCGCAGGTGACATCAAGGAAAGATCAAGAGCAGTATTGGGCACCTAAAGATCAGCCTTACAGGTTTGTTACGGTCAACGAATTTGCTGAGGCATTTCAATCATTCAATGTGGGACGAAGTGTTACAGATGAGCTTTCAATCCCATATGACAAGACCAAGAACCATCCAGCTGCATTGGTAAACAGAAAGTATGGAGCTGGAAAGATGGATCTCCTTAAAGCTAACTTCTCAAGAGAATACTTGCTCATGAAAAGGAACTCATTTGTCTACATCTTTAAGCTATGCCAAGTAATTATCGACAGTCATTATAATATCTAAGTTTTCTTTACTTTCAAATATAGCATCCAGTGTGACACTTTTTACCCATCTTCTATCAGCTGACATTAATGGCATTGATTTCTATGACACTCTTCTTTCGGACCGAGATGCATCGAGATACAGTAACCGATGGAGGAATTTATACTGGTGCTTTATTCTTCACTGCGATCATGATCATGTTTAATGGTATGTCAGAACTATCCATGACCATCGTAAAGCTTCCTGTGTTTTACAAGCAAAGGGAACTTCTATTCTTTCCTCCATGGGCATATTCAATTCCTCCATGGATCCTCAAAATTCCGATCACATTTGTTGAAGTTGGTGCATGGGTGTTCCTGACCTATTATGTAATTGGATTTGATCCTAACGTTGAAAGGTAAATGAGAATTCTTAATTTTTCGTAAACTTGTACCAGAATCCATTCTGATCCAGTTGTCATAACAAGATGTTGTTTCTTTCTTTCCTTCTTTCATTTTTTCGCAGGCTTTTAAAGCAGTACTTCGTGCTTTTGCTAATCAACCAGATGGCATCTGCTCTATTTCGATTTATTGCTGCAGCTGGAAGGAACATGATTGTTGCTAACACCTTTGGGTCATTTGTGCTACTTGCACTTTTTGCAATGGGTGGCTTCATCTTGTCACGCGGTATGATGAGTATAATGTTGTATTTGTACTTAAAAAGTTATATTTTGCAAAAAGACCTGGAGGAATTCATTTTTTACGTTTTTTGTTGACAGAGCAAATAAAGAAATGGTGGATATGGGGTTACTGGATTTCACCATTGATGTACGGGCAGACAGCAATATTAGTGAATGAGTTCCATGGAAATAGTTGGAGTCATGTAAAGTTTCTTGAACTAGCCATTTGTATATTTGCGCCTTTGGCTCTCAATTATTCAACTGATATCGGAAGTTATTTTTCAAATCACAGATTCCTGAAAACTCCACAGAACCACTAGGAATCCAAGTTTTGAAGAGTCAAGAGTTCTTCACAGAAGCATATTGGTATTGGATAGGCGTAGGGGCAACAATAGGATTCATGTTACTATTCAATGTCTTCTTCGTTTTGGCCCTCACTTTCCTCAATGGTAACCGTCATTACCTTCTCAACTATGAATCATACCTCTTGAAAGTTGGAGCTTATATTTATATATTGCAAATACCCTGGCAGAATTTGAGAAGACTCAGGCCTTTATATCTGAAGAACCCGAAAGCAATGATTCTAGACGAGCTGTTCAGTTGTCAAACCGTGGAAGTAGTCACCAAACCAATACAGGTAAAAGAAATCAGTCGACGAAACACGTTTGTGCTTTAAGTCATTCCTTGCCTATTAGTTATTAGTTACCAATATATTTTCAATTTGCAAGCAGAGAGTGGTGTTGAAATTAATAGAAGTGGCTCAAAGTCCATTGGTGAGGCCAGCAATAACAGGAAGAAAGGAATGGTGCTTCCATTTGAACCACATTCCATCACATTTGATGAAGTTATTTACTCTGTTGACATGCCACAGGTATCAAAATTTTGTAAAATAGGATTGTATCTAGCTTTGATGTGATATGATTCACAGAACATGACACAATGGCCATGTTGCATTGAAATTTTCAGGAAATGAAAGTTCAAGGAGTTGTTGAAGATAGATTGGTGCTTCTGAAGGGTGTGAGTGGTGCTTTCAGGCCTGGTGTCCTTACAGCTTTGATGGGTATTAGTGGTGCTGGAAAAACGACTTTGATGGATGTGTTAGCTGGCAGGAAAACTGGTGGATATATTGAGGGAGACATTAAAATTTCTGGGTACCCAAAGAAGCAAGAAACTTTTGCAAGAATTTCAGGATACTGTGAGCAAAATGACATTCACTCTCCACATGTTACTGTTTATGAATCTTTACTTTACTCAGCTTGGCTTCGTCTACCCCCTGAAGTTGACTCTGAAACAAGAAAGGTAGGCACCCATTTCCTTAAATATGGTTCATACATTAGGCATTAAGTGTGCTGATTTGGGTTCTGTGAATTTTTCTTCTTCTCGTGCTTGTTTCCTTTTGCCTTGCTTTTCATCCAATCAAGTTCAATCAACTTAATTACGATTACCTAGTTCAACTCTCATTTCCATTTTATGATAAAGATCAATGATCCTCTTCCATCTAGCCAAGGATTGTGCTGGTAAAGTTGATCTTACGTATATAATTATTGTGCTAGAAAGCTTCAATACAACTCCTCTGCTTGCAGATGCTAAATCTAATGGTTTCTTTCTAGTCATCTAAAAACAATTAACTTATACATTACCAAAATAATTCCAGATGTTCATTGAGGAAGTCATGGAGCTTGTGGAGTTGAATCCATTGCGCCATGCATTAGTTGGGTTGCCTGGTGTGAATGGTTTGTCCACTGAGCAGCGCAAGCGGCTAACCATTGCAGTTGAGCTAGTTGCAAATCCTTCTATAATATTCATGGATGAGCCAACTTCAGGGCTAGATGCTAGAGCCGCTGCAATTGTGATGAGAACAGTTAGGAACACTGTGGACACAGGAAGAACAGTTGTATGCACCATCCACCAGCCCAGTATAGATATATTTGAAGCTTTTGATGAGGTAAAAAAGTTAACTAATTATCAGAGCTAGAAGTTTCTCAGGAGTTTAATTATCACCCTAATAATCTGGATTCTTTACATGGCATTGCAGTTATTCCTGATGAAGCGAGGAGGGGAAGAGATATATGTGGGGCCATTGGGTCGCCATTCTGCTCATCTAGTTAACTACTTTGAGGTATGTTTGATTTGATTAATAATCAACTTAAAACACAAACAGTTGTGAGTATCTTCTAACCAATGCTCATACTAATTACTATTGACTAATTCATATACATTTTTAATTTGAAGGCAATTGAAGGAGTGAGTAAAATTAAAGATGGTTACAATCCAGCAACCTGGATGTTGGAAGTTACTACTTCATCACAAGAGATGGCTTTGGGGATTGATTTTGCTAATATTTACAAGAATTCAAATCTTTTCAGGTCAGATAAAGTAGTTGTTTATGTGTTTAAACTGTAAAAATATTCTGAAGCCATCCCATATAAGATTTGTTACTGATGTGTGGCTTCATTCAGGAGAAACAAAGCACTTATTGCAGAACTAAGCACACCTGCTCCTGGCTCAAAGGACATTTATTTCCCTACACAGTATTCAACATCATTTTTCACACAATGTATGGCTTGCTTATGGAAGCAACATTGGTCATACTGGAGGAATCCACCGTACACTGCCGTGAGATTTCTTTTCACGACCTTTATTGCGGTGATGTTTGGGACAATGTTCTGGGACCTTGGCTCCAAAATGTAAGTCACAATTAATGGGGAAGTTAAAACAATTTAGAATTTTAGTTCTTCTACCTACTCATCTAAGTTCTCTTACAAACTGCAGGAATGGCACCAAAGCTCTTATCAACGCTATGGGTTCAATGTATGCAGCTGTTCTTTTCCTTGGTTTTCAAAATGGATCAGCTGTACAGCCAGTAGTGGCTGTTGAAAGAACGGTCTTCTACAGAGAAAGAGCTGCCGGAATGTATTCAGCTCTGCCCTACGCCTTTGCACAGGTACAAGCTTATTAATTAAGCATTTCAGAACTCACCTCATCAAAAGTAGAATTTTTTGCGTGTATCATGCATTGACCAAACTTCATCTTATGTTGCAGGCCGCAATTGAGCTTCCGTATATATTTGTTCAAGCTGCAGTTTATGGTGTTATAGTTTATGCAATGATTGGATTTGAATGGACTGCTGCTAAGTTCTTTTGGTATTTTTTCTTCATGTACTTCACATTGTTATACTTCACCTTTTACGGAATGATGTCTGTGGCTATGACTCCAAACCACCACATCGCTGCCATAGTTTCCACCGCATTTTACACAATATGGAACCTCTTCTCAGGGTTTGTAGTTCCCCGACCTGTAAGTACTGTTTACACTATCTTAATTATGTCAAATCCTAAGTTTCCGTAGTCATTGGTTTGTATTAAATAATTTTATGATTCATTTTTCTGCTTTGGTCTATAACAGAGCATCCCTATATGGTGGAGATGGTACTACTGGGGATGCCCCGTATCATGGTCCTTGTATGGACTGGTTGTATCACAGTATGGAGATATACAGAAACCACTTACCGGCAATCAAACAGTGGAAGAATTTGTGAAGGATTATTTGGGTTTCGACCATGATTTTCTTGGAGTAGTTGCAGCTGCGGTTCTTGGCTGGGCAGTCCTCTTTGGTTTCCTATTTGCCTTTTCTATTAAGGCCTTCAACTTCCAGAGGCGATAGAAAATTTTCTTTAAATGCTTCTTTCTATTTTTTCCACTTTCTGTGTGTAGTCATTAGACTAGCTATTGTAGTTTTTTGAGTTTTTTTTACATCTCATATTATTGTTTATTGAAGCTTATTAATTAAGATAAACTAATATTAATTAATGCTCGTAGTTTCAGAAACTACACCATTTAATCTCTAATTTTTTCATAAATCTATTTATAAATTAGTCGTTTGCAATTCATTTCTATATATGTTCTTTTCCTATTTATTTGGGTTTTGGAAATAATGATTTATTTTTCACTGTGCCATGCTTAACGAGTTTTCTATATTTCTTATAAGAAAATTACTCCCTCCCTCCCTTTCCTTTCGTTCTAAAAAAAAAAAAAAAAAAAAAATTGAAGAAACCCAGTAGAAACAACTCAAGACTCATTTCTCATCTCATTAAAGATCCTTAATGCTTCTTCCAAATCACCCATCTCCATCTACATGTCTAGTATTTCTAGCCATGAAGCAGCAGCTCTCTTCACCATCTTATTCAAGAACTTCCATAGACAAAACTTATTTCATTCATTCTGAAAAACAATGAATTCAAAGAATTAGAAATTGACAAATGGTCTTCTGATCTAGCCTTAACAAACATACCCAATACACCTTCCAAACCATCAATTACCCAATTTTACATAAGTTATAATCACAGATATAAAAGTAACCAAATTTGATTTGATTCTAAATTTAAGACGCTTCAAAAATAGCTCAACAGTTTCAAAACTAACCAGTTCTGCTTGCACATTGCCCAGTAATCGTCGTCGTTCAAAAACCACATTTTGAAATGGGTTTCTTTCAAAATACTACATTGCTTCGTTCAGTCTTCTAGATTTCAACCGAAAATCAATGTGCTCCATGAACCTCATTTCCTTTTGGGCTTTTCATGATTTACAAGCTTCATCAAGATTTTTGGATATTTTTAGATGATTTATGTTTTTGTATTTGAGATTTTGTGGGGATTTGAAGTCGGTGGTTTTAGGGTTTTGCAGATATGGAGATGTCTTTTTTTTTTTTTTATCATTTTTTTTTATTGATTATGTAGGTCCCAATGATGGATGCCATGTCATAAGATAACATACATGTGGGACACAATTTGACCGACATCCCATATTTAACTTGATACGTTTTACAAGTTAGAAAACTTATCTGAACAAAATTAAAGATGAGATACCTAATTGCGAAAATCACATAAGTTCAAGTACGAAAAATCACGTTAATTCAATTTCTTAAACATCTTCAACGATCGCTATTTAACTTACAATTTAGTGCAATTTTATCCGTTTGAGTCAAAATGACTTAATTTTGCAAACATTATATCAAATTTGACGGTCTATTCTAGATTTTTTTTGTTTTTCATATAGTATTTTCTTGTGATTCTTTCGGTGTGTTTTTTTACCTAATTTTCTGAATAAACGTGACAAATGGCACAAAATTATAATATCATGTCAGATAAAATTGTTATACCATAAAAAAATTGAAAAAACAAAAAAAAATCAGAAAATTAGTTGAAAAAAATAATATTTTTAACGTATTAAAAAAAAATATTTATAGACAATAAAACAACAATCCTAAAATCCTAAATTTTCAAAACCCCAGACTCATTTAACTACTCAATCAATCAGTCAAAAAAAAAAAAAAAAAACTTCAAAATCACAAATCCTGATTCATTATCAACGTTTGATTTGCAGAGGAGTGAAATTTTACGACGATGCAATTATCACAACCACCGAATCCGCTATCTATCTCTTCCTTCGTCTCCATGGTGGCAAAGGCGGGTCTCCACACACCTTAATTTATCACCATTAATATCACCTTTCACACTCACTCTCATCCAACAATTTACCCGACTGTCATCACCATCAAAATGCACCATCGCGTACTGCCTACTGCCATAAAAACCCCACCGCTTAAAAAACCTAACATGTTATACTTAGTTGTAGCACCATGAAATCCCACCCCCATAACCAACTATATATTGAGAAAAGAATAAATAAATTAAAGGTAGCGTGAGGAGTAGAATAATTTAAGCACTTGTCGTTCTTTGGTTTGTAGGAGAAAGAGAGAGATAAATACTTCACAATTGATTTGTTGAGAAAGGAGAGAATGATTTAATCACCTATGATTTTTGGTTTTGGGTATTGAAACTTGAAGACGGAAAGAAGAGATTAAAATCGGGTAGTTTGATTATTTGTGTTCTTGAATGAATCTAAAGAGATCTAACAAGAATGATACTTTTGTCTAAAAAATTTATTTTTTCATCTTCACTAGAGCTTTTATTATTATTGAACCTCCCTTAATTTATTTTTTTTCTGATTTTCAATTTTTTTTTTATTTATAAACGATCTATGTTTGCAATAATTTGTCAATTCAGCTTCTATCTCAACTATATTATTGATTAATTAACTTCCAAATCCATCTCATTGACCAATAAATCAACCAAAGTCATAAAAAATCACCATAATCTTTTTAAATCAAACAACAAAATCAAGAGTTAACAAATAAAATGAAGGATAGAGACTTGTTACCTTACTTTCCTTGAAACAAGAGGGACTAATTATAATTTACTCTTTTTTCAGTTGCTGTTTGTTTTTTGTTTTTTTTTTTTTTTTCCTCTGACTTTTTGTTCATGTCTCCTCTAGGTAAAACATGTTATATTTATATGCAGCTTTTTTTTTTTTTTTCCTTTTCTATTCTGACTTTTTTTAATTGGGCCTGCACTGCCATGTCCAAACCCGGTGCAATTAGCACGGCCCAGCGCGCGCTTGGGGTTTCCAGGCCCACTTTTCCTTTTTTATTTTTTTTTATTTTCACTTTTTTTTTTATACTTTATTTTATTTTTTATGAAAAAAATAAAGTGATGATATATATATATATATAATAACAACATCTTTTGTGATACTGGGTCGTTATGAAAATCTATGTAATATGGAAATTTATAATTATAAAAATCTTTGCACTATGGACATTTGTAGTATATTTTTCCATACTACAAAGATGTTCATAATGGAACAATATCACAAAAGATACTGCTATTAAAATCTCTTACAAAGATTACATGATCTTATACTGATTTAGTTCTCATTAAAGGAGAATGAGAGGATTCTAATTTCTGATCACTTGCTGGATAATGTTATGAATAGCATGATAGACTTTGAAAGGTAAAATATTTTTTCTATTCGACTAAAAATAAATACACTATTGTTTGTTAGTTGTTTGTACCAAAGCTTGAACCACCAGAACCAGGAGCATTGGCAGAGACACTCTCGTTAACTTGGTCAAATGGTAGGAAACAACTGATTGGCTTCAACAATTTTCTCACCCTCTCTCTCTTTCTCTCCTTTTCGTTTTCTCCTGTCTGATAGAAATGTGAACAAGTTTGAATGTTCAAATTAAGAGCCACCAGTAGTGTACTTAAGGATTAGTATGATATATATCCTCACATTTGATGCGACGCTCCACTTTCCATTTGCTTACCTTCTCAAGAAAACAAAATCTGGGTTTTGATTCATTTTAGCTGTCTGTTAAGATTTCTTTGATTCCAGTTCCAAAACCAAAAAAGAAAAAACAGGAAACAAAGTCTGGGTTTTGTTTTGTTTTGGTTGTTGTTTTTGTTTTAGTTGTGGTTAAGTATACTGATTTATCATCAATGGAGAGTGCTGATATTTATAGAGCTAGTAGTCGTTTAAGAGGCAGTTTAAGAGCAGGTTCGTTGGTATGGAGAAATGGTACTGTGGAACCATTTTCAAGATCTTCAAGAGAAGATGATGAGGAGGCTCTAAAATGGGCTGCGCTTGAGAAACTACCTACTTATGATCGTTTAAGGAAAGGTATATTAGCGAGCGCATCAAGAGGTGTAATTAGTGAGGTAAATATTGAAAAGCTTGGAGTCCAAGAAAGAAAACAGTTGCTTGAGAGGTTGGTCAAAGTTGCTGACGAGGATAATGAGAAGTTATTGTGGAAACTCAAGAATCGTATTGAAAGGTAAAAATTTCTCCTTTGTTTCTTCTTTGCTATGTAAATTTACTTTGTTTGGTTCATAGTGAAAATGTTAGAAAGCAATCATGTTTGTAGATTAATTGAAACATGGACATTAATACTATCAAATAGAGAGAAAGCAAGATGGTTTTACTTAATCGGATCTTTGTTAGTTTCTCATTCATGACAATGGATTCTGTTCTCCCTGTTTTTGCTTGGAAAACAGAGGAACTCTGTATTGGTTGATGAAATTGTTGATTTTCTGTAACGTTTGGTGTTTCAGGGTTGGAATTGAGTTTCCAAAAATTGAAGTTCGGTACCATCATCTAAATATTGAAGCAGAAGCTTATGTAGGAAGCAGTGCTTTGCCTTCATTTGCTAAGTTTACTTTTAATATATTAGAGGTAACTACATTTGCAAACATTTAACATCGGTTATTGCTACTGAAATACGATACTTCTTTTCTATGGTCATGCTTTTCTTATTAACTAATCACATTTTTTTTAAGGGTTTATTGATTTCCCTTCATATCCTTCCAAGTAGAAAGAAACCATTCAACATCCTTAAGGACGTTAGTGGAATCATCAAGCCATCAAGGTAAGATGACCATGATCTAAAATCTGTTTGCTTAAAACTGCATTCAATAGTTACGTACCTCTACTTAATTGTTGTGCTTTGTACATGTTTTAGACTGACCTTGCTTTTGGGTCCTCCAAGTTCTGGGAAGACTACTCTGTTGTTGGCATTGGCTGGAAAGCTTGATCCCAGTCTGAAGGTAGTGATAGATTCTCGTAAATTTGTAAATTCCATGAAGATTTCGATTTTAGTTTTTCTGCTTTAATTTGAGAAGCTAAATTGCATCTTGCAGTATTCTGGTCGTGTGACATACAATGGCCATGAGATGAACGAGTTCGTACCACAAAGAACAGCTGCCTATATCAGTCAACATGATATCCATATAGCAGAAATGACTGTAAGGGAAACTTTGGCATTCTCTGCTAAATGCCAAGGGGTCGGACATCTACATGGTTAGAATAACGGACTAAATTTTCTTTGCATATATTAACGGAATCATAATTCAATCTGGCGATCTAATTAGAATCTAAGCATGACTAAATAAAAATTCTGGCAATTCACAGATATGTTGGCAGAGTTGTCGAGAAGAGAGAAAGAAGCCAGCATTAAGCCTGATCCAGATGTTGATGTCTTCATGAAGGTGAGGAAAATATTACTATTCTGGACACTCATTGTTTGAAAATGAAAAGGAAAGAAGGATAAATATTCATTTCTTTAAAACAACAGCATTATTCAGTCCATAAATGTTATTGTTAGAATTTAAACCAAATTAAAAGACCTTTCCTTTTACCTCACCAATTCGACGCCAATTTATTAATTCTCTTGATTATTGATTATTGATTATTGATTAGTGTTAAGAGGCCACCCATCATAAAGCTTAAGCCTTTTGGATGTAATCCAATTTCAACTATTTAACTATATATGGTTTTAGAGCCTTAAAGAGACCTAATAGCTTAACGAAGATCTTAGAGCCTAAGCCACTTGACAGAACCTTGACAAATCCCAAAAGATGGGGATGGGCTGCAAGTGAGGGGAAGTGCTGAGAAGGGGCGATCCACCATAAGGCTCAAATCTTTTGACAGACCCAAAAAATGAACTGTATGTGAGGGATAGTGTTAGAGCACATATCCGACGTTTAATAATTAAACCAAAATGATTAATATATAAGATTGAGAAAGGGCCACCCACCATAAGGCTTAATTCTTTTAAAAGGAAATTTAGAACTCTATAACTAGAATTGGTAAAATAAGATACAATTTCTGCGGTTTCTGGTATTGCAGGCAGTAGCAACACAAGGTGAAGAGGCCACTGTCATCACCGATTATGTCTTAAAGGTAGTATCAGTACGCAATACTCTAGTGCCACGAAAATCTTAAGAAACTGCGAAAATAGTATCCTTTAAATGTTTTCTCCTTCTCTTAAAATTGCAGATATTAGGATTGGAAGTCTGCGCAGACACTATGGTAGGTGATGAAATGATAAGGGGTATCTCTGGAGGACAAAGGAAGCGAGTTACAACTGGTAACAATCTCCATTAGTCCATTCCTTGTATCAGGGATCAATTAGTTCCTTTCCATTCTACTAATCAGCGACAATGGACCATAGGTGAAATGCTGGTCGGACCATCAAGGGCATTGTTTATGGATGAGATTTCTACTGGCTTGGACAGTTCAACAACTTACGAAATTGTGAACTCGTTAAAGCAAACCATTCACATTCTCAATTGCACTGCTGTCATCTCACTTCTCCAGCCAGCACCCGAGACTTATGACCTTTTTGATGACATTATTCTCCTGTCAGATGGCCAAATTGTGTACCAGGGTCCTCGTGAAAATGTTCTTGGATTTTTTGAACATATGGGCTTCAAGTGCCCTGAAAGAAAAGGCACCGCTGACTTTTTGCAAGAAGTAAGCATAAAGAAGGCAGTTGTGTTTGGCGCCTTTGTCACAATAGGTTCTCCTATTGGACATAAGAAGAGCATTATGCATTATGATAATCTTTGTAAATAATGAATGAATTCGTTGCAGGTGACATCAATTAAAGATCAAGAGCAGTACTGGGCACGAAAAGATCAGCCTTACAGGTTTGTCACAGTCAACGAATTTGCCGAGGCATTTCAATCATTCAACGTGGGACGAAGGATTGCAGATGAGCTTTCAACACCATTTGACAAGTCCAAGAACCATCCAGCTGCTTTGGTAACCAAAACGTATGGAGCTGGAAAGATGGATCTTCTTAAAGCTAACTTCTCTAGAGAATACTTGCTCATGAAGAGGAACTCATTTGTCTACATCTTCAAGATTTTCCAGGTAATTACCGACAGTTGTTGCATTATCTAAGTTTATGCTCTTTTGAATTTTGCATACAGTGTGACATTTTTTCTCTTCTTATCAGCTTACAATAATGGCAATCATTTCAATGACACTCTTCTTTCGGACCGAGATGCATCGTGATACAGTTACGGATGGTGGAATTTATACTGGTGCTTTATTCTTCACTGTGACCATGATCATGTTTAACGGTATGCCGGAGATATCTATGACCATTTCCAAGCTTCCTGTGTTTTACAAGCAAAGAGACATCCGATTCTTTCCTTCATGGGCATATGCAATTCCTCCATGGATCCTGAAAATTCCCGTCACATTTGTTGAAGTTGCTGCATGGGTGTTCCTCACCTATTATGTAATTGGATTTGATCCAAATGTTGAAAGGTAAATAAAAATTCTTAATTTGTTGTAAACTTGTAGGATAATCCATTCGGATCCAGCTGATATAACAAGGTGATGATTTTCTGCAGGTTTTTTAAGCAGTACTTTCTGCTTTTGCTAATTAACCAGATGGCCTCTGCACTATTTAGATTTATCGGTGCAGCTGGAAGGAACATGATTGTTGCTAACACCTTCGGGTCATTTGCGCTACTTGTACTTTTCGCATTGAGTGGCTTCGTCCTGTCGCGAGGTATTATCATTGTGCTTAGAATTTATATTTTGCAACTAAACATGAAAGCATCCTTTTCTACTGTTTGTTTAATGCCACAGAGCAAATAAAGAAATGGTGGATATGGGGTTACTGGATTTCACCATTGATGTATGGGCAGACGGCTATAGTAGTGAATGAGTTCGTTGGAAATAGTTGGAGTCATGTAAAGTTTCTTCAACTGGCCATTTGTATTGTTGCACCTTTGGCTCTCGGTAATCAACTGATATCTGAAGTTATTTTTCAAATTACAGATTCCTGAAAACTCCACTGAAACACTAGGAATCCAAGTTTTGAAGAGCCGAGGTTTCTTCACAGAAGCATATTGGTATTGGATAGGAGTAGGGGCAACAATAGGATTCACACTACTATTCAATCTCTGCTTCGTGCTGGCCCTCACTTTCCTCAATTGTAAGTTTCATTAACCTCTCAACTTCATACTTCTTGGAATTTGGATCGTATTTTAATATGTTGCAAATTATGCTGGCAGCATTTGATAAGCCTCAGGCTTTTATATCTGAAGAGCCTGAAAGTGATGAATCTGGTGGCAAAACTGGAGGAGCTATTCAGTTATCAAACCATGGAAATGGTCGCAGAACTAACACAGGTAAAAGAACTCGATCGATGATGTGTATTTGTGCTCAAGCCCCTGTTTTTGGGAACTAATTACCAATATAATTTCAATTTACAGAGGGTGGAGTTGGAATTAGCAGAAGTGGTTCAAAGGCCATTGGCGAGGTCCGTAATAACAGGAAAAAAGGAATGGTTCTCCCATTTCAACCACATTCCATCACTTTCGACGATGTTATTTATTCTGTTGACATGCCACAGGTATCAAAATTTAGTAAAATAAGATCACATGTGGCTTTGATGTGATATGATTAACAGAACATGACACAGTGACCTTGTTGCACTGAAATCTTCAGGAAATGAAAGTTCGAGGAGTTGTTGAAAATAGATTGGTGCTTTTGAAGGGTGTGAGTGGAGCTTTCAGGCCTGGTGTCCTTACAGCTTTGATGGGTGTTAGTGGTGCTGGAAAAACGACTTTGATGGATGTTTTAGCTGGCAGGAAAACTGGTGGATATATTGAGGGAGACAACAAAATTTCTGGGTATCCAAAGAAGCAAGAAACTTTCGCTAGAATTTCAGGATACTGTGAGCAAAATGACATTCACTCTCCACATGTTGCTGTCTATGAATCCTTACTCTACTCAGCTTGGCTTCGTCTACCTACTGAAGTCGACTCTGAAACCAGAAAGGTAGGCGCTCCTTGCCTTAAATATGCTTTAGGCATCAATAGTTTGGGTTCTGTGAATTTTTCTTCATATCGTTCTTGTTTCCTTTTTGGCTTGCTTGTCATCCAATCAAGTTCAATAACTTAATTAGCATTACCTAGTTAAACTGGAATTTCCATTTTATAATTTATCAGCCAAAATTGGTTTCCAGATGTTCATTGAGGAAGTCATGGAGCTTGTGGAGTTGAATCCATTGCGCCATGCATTAGTTGGGTTGCCTGGTGTGAATGGTTTGTCTACTGAGCAGCGCAAGAGGCTAACCATTGCAGTTGAGCTCGTTGCAAACCCCGCTATCATATTCATGGATGAGCCAACTTCAGGGCTAGACGCTAGAGCTGCTGCAATTGTGATGAGAACAGTTAGGAACACTGTGGACACTGGAAGAACAGTTGTATGCACCATCCATCAGCCCAGTATAGACATATTTGAAGCTTTTGATGAGGTAAGAAATGTTAGCAAATTATCTGAATCAGAAGTTTCTCTTGAGTTAATCACCATAACAATCTGGATTATTTAAAATGGCATGTAGTTATTCCTGATGAAGAGAGGAGGACAAGGGATATATGTGGGGCCTTTGGGTCGCCATTCCACCCATCTTATAAAATATTTTGAGGTATGTCTGACGCGATCAATGATCAAATAACACGGTTGTATCTTTAGACCTGCATGCATACTAACTATGGACTAATTCATATACCTTTCCATCTGTGAAGGCAATTGAAGGAGTGAGTAGAATTAAAGATGGTTATAATCCAGCAACTTGGATGTTGGAAGTTTCTAGTTCAGCACAAGAAATGGCTTTGGGGGTTGATTTTGCTAACGTCTACAAGAATTCAGATCTGTTCAGGTCGGATAAAGTACTTGGTTATGTGGTTAAACTGAAAAATATTCTAAATCCATGCCAATAAGTTTTGACATGGAATAATAAAGCAGTTAATTAAGAATTTGTTGATGAATTTATCAAAATTTGTTGATGATGTATGATATAATTCAGGAGAAACAAAGCACTTATTGCAGAACTAAGCACACCTGCTCCTGGCTCAACGGACCTTTATTTCCCCACGAAGTATTCAACATCATTTTTCACACAATGTATGGCTTGCTTATGGAAGCAACATTGGTCATACTGGAGGAATCCATCATACACTGCTGTGAGATTTCTTTTCACGACCTTTATAGCCTTGATGTTTGGGACAATGTTCTGGGACCTTGGCTCCAAAGTGTAAGTTACAATGGGATATTTAAAACAATTTAGAAGTTCAGACTTTGATGCTTTGCTTCAACTTGCTCATCTATTTTCTCTCACAAACTGTAGGAATAGTACCCAAGATCTTTTCAATGCAATGGGCTCAATGTATGCAGCTGTTATCTTCCTTGGTGTGCAAAATTCATCATCTGTACAGCCAGTGGCGGCGGTTGAAAGAACTGTCTTCTACAGGGAAAGAGCTGCCGGAATGTATTCAGCTTTGCCCTATGCTTTTGCACAGGTAACAATTCATCAGGCGTTACACAGACTTCACTCATCAAGCAGAATGTTATGCATGTTTTCTTTATCAAATTTTCATCTTGTGTTGCAGGTCCTGATTGAACTTCCGTATATTTTTGTTCAAGCTGCAGTCTATGGGGTTATAGTGTATGCAATGATTGGATTTGAATGGACTGTCGCTAAGTTCCTTTTTTATCTGTTCTTTATGTACTTCACACTATTATACTACACCTTCTACGGAACGATGGCTGTCGCAATGACTCCTAACCACCACATCGCTGCGATAGTTTCCTCGGCATTTTACGGAATATGGAACCTCTTCTCAGGGTTTGTAGTTCCCCGACCTGTAAGTGCTTACTATCTTAATTACTTAAAATTCGAAGTTTCCATGGTGATTGGTTGGTTCGCTTGTGGAATAATTTTTTGATTCATTTTTCTGCCTTGGTCTGCTTCAGCGCATACCTATATGGTGGAGATGGTACTATTGGGCAAATCCAGTATCATGGACCTTGTATGGAATGGTTGTATCGCAGTTTGGAGATATAAAGAAACCACTTACCGGCAATCAAACAGTGGAAGATTTTGTGAAGGATTATTTTGGTTTCGACCATGATTTTCTTGGAGTTGTTGCAGCAGTGATCGTTGGGTGGGCAGTCCTCTTTGCGTTCGTATTTGCCCTTTCTATCAGGGCTTTCAACTTCCAGACGAGATAGAAATTTTCTTTATATATATATAACTTTATTTTTTAAGTGATCAAAACAAAGAAATCATCATTAAATAAGGGCAAAGAGAAAAAAAATCTTTTATTAAAAGCCAAAAAGAACTTATGAACTATGAGACTAAAAAAACTCATTATGCCATATAATTGTTTTAATTATCAATTATTATATATATTTTTAATAAAATATATGTTTGCATCAAATAATATTTAACCAGTAATATTATATTGTTCAATTTTATAATTTTTTATTTTAGCTAACTCTACAATAACGAACGTAATAGATATTTTTATCATTCTATTCTTTGAATTTTTTTTTCGTAATTTTTTTAACTAATTATTTTAAACTTTATATTTTATATAAATAAATAAATAAAAATATTGTGTGGTTTATTCCGTGGCAAGGGACCAGATATATGCTAGTAATGGTCATATTCTTGGTCTTGCTTTCAAGTTTGCCTGAAGCAATGGGTACCCATTCTTAGAGGCATGAAGTTTTTTGTTTTTTCATTACAAAAATTAAAATAGAGAGACGATCAACTAAGTGGGATAGCGGTGATAAGTTCAGCTTCGAGTGGATGGAAAATGGAATCTATCTACTGTCATGGTTTCCAAATTCTAGGGATCATATCAATTAGCTCACTCACCGTCGCGAAAGGAGATAATGCAGAGTTAGAATGCAGAATTTGGTAAAGGGGAATTGGAGATTTTTCCTACCAAACCAAAATTAGATGCCAAAGAATGCCTACGTCAGCCAAACAAACATTCAATCTTCTCCCATCCTTCGGATACAACACCGTTTATTCCCCACAAAACACCTTCTTCCAAATCCCGACAGAAATCAGCCTCTCCGATCCACTTCCACTTCACCCACCATTTCTCTTCCTATATCTATTCCCATGGCATCCTCTTCCCAACAACCACTGAAGAAATTCAAACATTCATCAATCTCGTATTCGAGTTTCTCACTCAAGCAAAAAGTTCAAGCATTGCTTCTCTAATTCACGCTATATCCCCATCCGAATCATCCACCATAAATAATATTCCTTCTTCTTCGTCTTCCATGACTAGCTCAAGTGATTCAGAACAAGTTGCAGTCTATATGGCTGACCATAAACCATCTAATGCTAGAGCTCCATCAGTTTGCAGTCTAAATGGCTGAACCTAAACCATCTAATGCTATAGATACATGTGTAAGATTAATTATGGTCCAAGTGATAAGATTATATATTTAAAAATATATTTAATTAATTTATGATACATGTTTTGTATAAAATGTATCTAATTAATTAAGATATATAATATTAATTATGATACATTTAATTAATTATAATAGACACTATATTATAATTGTAATAAATATAATTAATTATGATACATATACAAATCTTCATGGGAGACTTGGGTTAAAATTATAAAAGGAGGATGGTCCTCTCTCTGTCTCTGTCTTGTATCGTATGTGAAAAATAATAACATTAGAATACTAATTTTCATCCATAAGAAAGAGATCAAGAAAGAAGAATCATTCTTTATCTATTTGTATTTAGTTAGTATTAATTCAAAAGCCAAACCATAAATCTACTTTTCCATATTGATTCAAAAGTCAAAATATAAATCAAGATATGTTTTTTTCTTAAAAGTTACATAAACAAGAACTAATCAAACAATTTAGCAGCATGTGGAAAGTTGACTAATAAATATTTAATTGTCAATTTTATTTTTTGGAGAGATGATTGTCATTGCAAACAATAATTTTCTCAAAGAAAGGAAAAAAATACGTAAGAAAAAAAATAGTGGTACCTCAAAAAAGTTAGTGGGTTCTAAGTGCTTGATATACTTAAGAATAGTTGAGATTATGGATATCCTGTAGCACGTCCGAGCAAAATAATAGGGTCCCGTATTTAGGTTTATTCTTTCATGCACCGCATGCCATGGCTGAATCAGCTCCTCCATCACATGGCATCCCGCGTCCAACCTTGGTTTACGTTTTTTATAAGTAAGTAGCATAAGTTAACAGGTTTTTTTTTTTTTTTTTAATAACTGATTTTCATTGATAATGATTGGCTAGAGAGCAAAAACTGAGAATATTATAAAAGATTGTTTATCTAAACCAATCAAAGCCTTGTTTGAGGTCTAGATTTCCGTTGTTTGTTTTTCAGACAAATTAATAATATTGTTAACCAAATCTTCACGATTGATTTCGTTGAAATAATCAACCTTGTTATCCTATATATGCCATAAATATTAGAAGGTTTGTTGTCTTTCAATTTCGAAGAAAAGTATAAATTTACAATAGGCAGGTTTCTTTCTATTTGGAGAATAAACAGTTAATCCAATGGAAGTTTTCTCAAGTTCTTCACGAGAACAAGAAGATGAAGAGGCTCTAAAATGTGCTGCACTTGAGAAACTACTAACTATGATCGAGTGACGGACGCAAGATCAAATGTTTACGGAAGCCAAAATAAATATTTATAAATTTGTCATGATTTACACAAACTTACTTATATATATATATATATAGTCTCAAAATAGAGATCTTCGTTTTTTCAAATCATGAAAATTATCTATAAACGAATTTATACTAAAATTTTTAGTAATTTCTTTTTCAATATACACTAACAAACAATCGAAAGAAAATCATCTTTTATCTTGTTACGAAGCTTAGTTTTGACTATACTTATAGCTGAAAATAACCACTTCGTGATAGCCATAAAAACTGAAAAAGTAAGAATAAGTGTTATCACTCTATATACGAGTGGATAACTTTTAAATTTTCTTATCTTCATCGACCTTTAACACAAATCGGATATAGTAGTAATAGTAATCTTGAGTAAATTATAAGTTAGTCTATCTATTTTTTTTAAAAAAAAGGATTAATTAGTTCTTTTTGTTCCAAAAACAAATTATTTAGTTCTTCCATTTTAAATTTTCTTGTAATATATATATATATATATATATATATATATGAGTTAATGAAAAAAAAAACATTTTTTGAAATACAATAATGTAAATTAAATATGATCACTGGTCAAAAAACTAAATAATTTTTGAAAAATATATGGACTATTTTATAATTTTTTATAGTAATCTTAAATCGAAATTACTAAATCGTTATATCTTAACAAAATTATTATATATTTTTTGAAATAAAATAATATAAATTAAATATGATCATCGATAAAAAAAAATCATTTTTGAAAAATAGAAAGATTATTTTATAATTTATTATAGTAACCTCAAATCAAAATTATTAAATCTTTATATCTTAAAAAAATAGCCCAAGTAGAAACCCAAAATCAATTGGTTGTACAATAATAAGAATAGTCCAAAAACAGGGGTGCGATACTTCTGGGCCTGTAGACCTCCACGTGGGTCTGCCCCTGCCTATGATCGGTTGAGGAAAGGTATACTAACAATAGGAGATGATGCTGGTGAAATTGATATTTCCAAACTTGGATTTAAAGAAAAGAAATGCTTCCTCGATAGGTTGGTGAAATTGCCTGACGAGGATAATGAGAAGTTTTTATTGAAACTCAGGAATCGTATTGATCAGTAAGTTTTATTTTCTATCTTTCTTTCTTTCTTTTTTTTTTTTTTTTTTTTTTACAAGATATATTTTAAAGTGTCTTATACAAGTTTTTAGTTTGTTTTACATTTTTTATCTGCACCTTAATAAACATTAGAAAGGGAATTTTGTAAAAAAATTAATGGATAACATTATTTTTAAAAATATTTTTAGCCTCCACCGCACACTAATTTGGATAACATTAGCGTAAATATCGGACAATGCCTCTTGGGTACTTTTCTTTGGATAAAAGCAAAGGTTTAATGACATATTTTTTTCTCTCAAACTATTAGAGTTATGTTAAAATAAAATTTATATTATCAATTTAAATTATTTAAATTTCAAATAATTAATTTTGGAATAAATTTTATATTTCTTCATTATGTTTGATAGTTAAAATATTGATTGTTAATTGAAAATACTTAAAATAATGCCGTTTTAAATGTTTTAGTTTGTTTTATATAATCATTAAGAAATTAATAATAGTTAGTCTTAGGAAAGCTTAGATGATTTTATTATTTATGGATCTGATTTTTGTTGTTCTATAATTTAATGATGGGTAATAAATCTATGTAATAATTTTTTAATTAATTTTAATTATAAAAAACAAAAATACTTAAAACGATATCATTATAAACATTTTAGTTAAAAATAACTGAAAAAGATTAAATTTGTCTAAAAATTAATATTTTGAAGTTCGGACAACTCAAATTGATATTATAAATCTTATGTTGTCATAACTCTAGCTAATAGTTTGAGGGTAAATTATATTATTAATAAATATAATAAAACAATATAACCTTTCACTATAGCTAAGCCCCTATTTTGACTTTTAGTGGATTTTTTTCAGTCTCTAATTTGTTTTTTTTTTTTTTGGTCATTAAAATTTTATTATATTTGAGTTATGTTCCTACAAAGAACTTTTTTTATTTTTTAGTGAAACTTTTTGTTATGTTTTTGCCTTTATTTTGTGATCTTTATTCTATTTTGATAATTAAAGTTTTATTATTTTTTATTTTTGTTTCCTTTTTGTACTAAAATTAAATATAGTTTCACTATCCTAAGTCTTTTTTAGCTTTTAGTAAAAAATTTCATTCTGTTTTGATTCCTATTTTGTGAATTTTTTTTGCATTAAAGTTTTATCATACTTGATTTTTATTCATGCCTTATACATAATGAGTTTTTTAGTCTTATTGTTCATAAATATTTTTTGGCTTTTCATGAATTTGTTTAAATTCTTATTTTATGATTTTTACTTTGTTTTGATCATTTAAGTTTTGTCATGTTTAATTTTTGTTTTTATCTTTTGCCAATCGATTTTGATATATTTCAATTTCATTTTGATTTGACAAAACTTTTTTGTCTTTTTGTTTTGGGTGGTCTCTCTCTATTTCATTAGCAAATTATAGATAAAGAACATATGATAGAAATTAATCATTCAAAATTAAAAAACTACCACATCATTATTTTAATTATTAGTTATTATACATATTTTTAATAAAATGCATATTTGTATCAAATAACATCTAATTAGTAACATTATATTGCTCAATTTTGCATATTTTTCGTTTAACCAACCTTGCAAGCAATACACGAAATATATGTTTTAGTTCTTTTATTCTTTGAATTTTTTTTGCATGATCATTTCAAATATTATTTTTAAATATATATTTTATATGAATTAACATATAAAAATGTTGTATACATCCTTACGACAATGTGAAGTTTTTACGTTAGTTAAACCTAAAAGTGAATGATACACTCACACACTCCAAACACACAAGTACATTTTGTTTCTAAAATTTTATAATAATGCAAATAAGTCCTCAAATGGAAAAGAAATTCTACCATCTTATTGCGTTTTTTCATTCAACCTTCAAAGAATTATATAAGTACATTTTGAACCTTAAATTAAAAATATGTACAATTACATCATTATTTATTCAAATTGAAAAAAAGGAAAGAAACAAATAATAAAGTAGTTTAGCTAAAGAAGAGTATACATTTCTTGTATCTAGTTTGATTATCTCTCTCTGGATTTCTTTGTCTTTTGGTTTCTTAGGGTCGGAATAACGACTCCAACTATCGAAGTTAGATTTGAGCATCTAAATGTCGAAGCAGAAGCTTCTGTAGGGGCCAAAGCTTTGCCAACAATTCCTAATTTCATTGCTGGTATACTTGAGGTCTATGACTAGCAAACGTTGATCACTAACTAGTTATGCCTTTCTTAATTTTTGTTTTTTCCATTGGAAGGCACAATTCCTACGTACAGCAGTAGATTCATTTATTTGTTTGTTAAGTTGTTCTTTTGTAATGCTTTTTCCTTCAATTTCATAGGGTTTCTTGAATTATCTTCATATCCTTCCGAATAGAAAACAAAAACTTGCCATCCTCAAGGATATTAGTGGAATCATCAAGCCATCCCGGTGAAATGAATACAAACTGATTTCTTAGGTTAATTAGCCTCATATCTCATATTTTGGATGCCATCTTTAGCCATGTCTTACAAGTTCGTTGTTATGGTTATTGTAGAATGAAATTGCTTCCTGGCCATCCGAGTTCTGGAAAGACTACATTCTTGTTGGCATTAGCAGGAAAGCTTGATCCTACTCTACAGGTGTTGAATAGTCATAGCTGCCTCATATCTTTTATGCGGGTTTAGTCATATTGTCTTATTTGAGAAGATAAATAAAATAATTTTGCAGTGTTCTGGTAATGTGACATACAATGGTCATATGATGAGTGAGTTTATACCCCAAAGAACGGCTGCCTATATCAGTCAGTATGATCTTCATAAGCAGAAATGACTGTAAGGGAAACTTTGACCTTTTCAGCAAGATGCCAAGGTGTTGGATCCCGACATGGTAAGATAATTAAATGATCAATATTAATCTTTTCTTAAACTATACATCTTCCAAATATATTCTGTTATGATTTGTTAAAATTGAGCAATCTACAGAGATGCTAGCAGAGGTATTGAGAAGAGAGAAAGATGCGAACATTATGCCTGATCCTGATATCGATGTCTTCACGAAGGTGAGGAAGATTCGTTAGGTGAAGAACGACAACTATATTTTATTATGATCAAACAAAGAATTTAAGTAAACTTCCTGAAGAGCTTAACAATTAAAACATTTGATTTTCTGCTTCATATATTTATGCTCACCAGGTTGTTACAGAAGAAATTTTGTATTGACGCTGTATATTAAATGTTTAAGAGTTGCTGTTTAATTTTTTGGTCCCTAAGAATTCCTTTGTTATCAAGTTAGAAAAACTTGTGCAAGTAGAAAAGGAAATTAATTTTGTTTTGCTATTTTAAAATCATAGGCACTAGCAATTGAAGGTCAGGAAGCTAATGTGGTGGCCGATTATGTACTGAAGGTAAATCAACACAAAAAAGCTCTATCCCAAAAGAACTTTATTAACTAGTCTATCTTATAATATTGCAAATGATTGATTTTCCTCCTAAATTTATAGATACTTGGTCTGGAAGTCTGTGCAAATACCATGGTGGGGAATGGATATTCTAGAGGCATTTCAGGAGGACAAAAGAGGCGTCTCACAACAGGTTAAATTCAAAATCCCTAGCAATCCGCCTCTAATATCAAAAAGCATCAAATTCTTTTAATTGTCGCTAATAGGATACCAACGCTACGCTATGGATAAACAACTATTATATATATAGGATTAATAATTCGTATAGTATAATACAAGTTGAAAGTTTTTATTTTTAGTGATTAATATAAATCGAATATATATATAGTTAATTTCTAACAAAATTAATTATATATAACATATTCAAAGTATATAAAATAAATATAAAAATATAAAAAAAATCACTTAAATTGTAAAGATATATTGAAGTCAATTGATTAAAATAAAAACTACAACAAAATTGGTTCGATAAATTCTGAATAAACATATATAAAAAAACAAATAAAACTTATGAATTTTTTGAACTCCTTATTATTTTGCTAAAAAAAAATAAGTCAAACTATATAAAACATAGTTTGAGCTCTCTCTCTCTCTCTCTCTCTCTCTCTCTCTCTCTCTCTCTCTCTCTATATATATATATATATATATATATATATATAAGTAAAACACTCATTTAAAAATATAAAAATAAAATTATATCAAAAAATTAAAAAATTAATTTAATGAGAATTTTAATAAGAAACAAATAATTAAAGAAATAAATTTGAAACAATAAGAATAAAATAATCGGATATGTATGTTAACATCAATGTCAAAGATATAATTAATTTTGGTTCGGGGACATTAAAGGGATCAATAATATATATGTTTTCTTTCTCGGTGAAGGAACTAATTATATATAACCGCTTAACTTGTACAACACTTGCTGAAGATCCGAGTTATGCTATAATAATATGTATATTCTTTTAAGGGTTTCCTTTTACCTCTCGGTGATCCTATCCTAAAGTACATCAAGATTTAAAATAATTAGGCAACTTTTTTTCTTTGTTTTATCATGAGATTGGTGGCGAGACTTTTAAAAATATAAATAAATTATATGAAGAAAAAGAAAAGAGCGAGGTCGGGCCCGGTTAGTGTGTGTGTGTGTGTGTGTGTGTGTGTGTGTATATATATCGTACTTAACAAATTCAAAGTATATAAACTAAATAAAAAAAATATAAAAAAACCCACTTAAATTATATGAAATATATCAAAGTGAATAGATTTAAATAAAAACTACTATAAAATTATTTTCGATAAATTTTGATCATATATATATATATATAACCAAATAAAACTATGAATTTTTTTAACTAATTATTAATTTTTTGAAAAAAAACCAAGACAAATTATTTTTTAAACTAATAATTATTTTTTTAAATGAAGTCAAATTATTTAAAACACAATTTTAGCTCTTTCTCTATCATTAGAATTTATATAAGCAACAATGACATTTTCATATAAAAATCATAAAAATAATCAATCATATAAATTATAATAATATATATTAAAAAATAAAAAAAATCATGTTCTAAATGTTTATTTCAAAAGTCATATATAAAAAACAAATTAAAAAAGAAAGGACAAACTAAATCTCAACAACCCAATCCGTTAAAAAGAAGGAAAAAAAGGGATGTCGACCGGGAAAAAAAAACTATAGTAATGGGATCGTGAAGGATGCTACAGCAATGAGACTGTGGAGGACCGGTTCGGTAGCCCGAGCCTTTAATAATAAATAAATAAATAAATAAAAGGTGGGAGGAAAAAAGGGAGGGGAGGGGGATTGTAGCATGAACAATTTCACCCCTAGTTCTTTCATTTTTTTTTTTTAAATTTTCATACTATGCTGTAATCGGATAATCATTATATACACGGGGTTAACAATTTGTATGGTATGATGCGAGTAGATGTTTTTTCTTTCCCGAAGATTAATGTAAATCGAATCTATATATTAAGCGAACTTATTTGATTTATATATATTCATTAATAAAATAATTTATAATATTAGTATAAAAAATTTTATATTTGAATAATTAAGATGTCGTTTCAAAATATGAATCGTACTTAACTTATATTTTTATTTAAAAATATAGATTTTAGAATATGAAAAAAATAATAAATAATTGATATTATGTGTGCGAGATATAATTAATTTTTAACAAAACTATATATATCGTACTCGACATATTTAGAGTATATAAAATAAATAAATAAATATAAAAAAATCAGCTAAATTGCATGGAATATATCGAAGTAAATAGATTTAAATAAAAACTATAATAAAATTGGTTTCGATAAATTCGATTATATATATAAAATCAAATAAAACTTGTGAATTTTTTAACTAATTATCAATTTTTTTTTTAAAAAAAATAGAGTAGAATTATTTTTTTAACTGATTATCATTTTTCTAAAAATTAAGTCAAATTATCTAAAATACACTTTTAGCTCTCTCTCTCTCCCACTCATCAAAATTTATATATCACAAAACTATATATATATATATATATATATATATATATATATATATATATATATATATATATATATATATTAAAAACATACTTAAATTGCATGAAATATATCGAAGTGAATAGATTTAAATAAAAGCTGCTATAATATTGGTTTCGATAAATTTTAATTATATATATTACTTAGTAAACTCGGAGTATATATATATATAATCAAATAAAACCTATGAATTTTTTAAATAATAATTATTTAAAAAAAAAAAGAAAAAAAAAAGGAGGTCAGCTGTTAAAAGGGAAAAAAAAAGGCCACGAATGACAGCCCAACCCTTTATATATATATATATATATATATATATAAAGAAAAAGAAAAAAGAGGCTAGCCCGAAAAAGAAAAAGGCCAGCCCGAAAAAAAAAGTGAATGACAACCCAGTCCTTTAAAAAAAGGAAAAAAAGAGGCCAGCCCAGAAATTATAGCCCAGCCCTTTAAAGCAAAGGGACTAATTAATTTATTTATCAAAGAAAGAGGGACCAAGAAGCAATAAAAAAAATATGAATCGGGACATAGTGAGGACTAATTAATTTATATGTCAAAAAAGAGGGACCAAGTTTCATTTTTCGTTTTTCTTTTCCCTTAAAAATTAAGAGTAATAAGACGTCCCTCACAGCCCCGAACACAGTCGCCCCCTCCTCCTGTCCTCCATTTTCCCTTTCTTCCAAAGACCAGAATTCAATCCACGAAAACTGTCACCTCCTCCTCCACCAGCCACCATCTCCTTTCTCTAGTCCTCTTCCTCTTGCATCTCCCTTTCTGAAGGTGAGAATTGAAATCAAGATGGCCTCTGTAAATACCATTCCAAAATCAATTCTTTAAAGCATTTATTTGTTGGAAATCCAGTCATGAATTTGCCTCTTCTTGCAATACCATTCCTCCATTTCCTCAATTTCTTGACTTGATATGCGAGCGTCAAGTAAGTTTCTCTTTTTCTTTATACTGATTTTCATTTGTGATGGATTTTTTCAAGTGGGGTTTTTTTTTTTTTAAGTTAAATCTTTTTTCTGGTAATATTGAAGTTAAATCTTTTCTGTGTTAAGTTTCTGGATCAGGTTAGTTTCATTGTCATGCTTTGCTTTTGTTTGATCTGTACATGCATCAGTAAAGATCTTTGCTTTTTTGGTTTTCATTTCTTTTACTACTACTATTTATTCTCTTTTTTGGCACCGTGATAATTACATATAATTTGTGAGTGAGTCTTATACATCTTCATTATCCTTCTCAATTATTATTTTTTTCTTGGCTTTGCTTTGCCTCTCTCAACTCAATTGTGTTTTAATGGGATTTTTCTTTTTTCTTTTTTCTAATATCGATACTAATTTGCTTTTCAAAAACAAATTTACATTTTAGTTTAAGAGGCGAAAAACTAAAAGTTAATCAATTTCATCTCTGTCGATCAAAGTTCAGTTTTGGCTGCTTGGACAAAAACCCATCTCAGCGAAACCGTTTTCAGTATCTGAATACTGCATGAAGTTAGTGTTTAACCGTTTGATTTAGTGCTTATAGGATCCTAGCTTGCGATTGCGTACAGAATCGAGTTTTGGCCATCAATTCCGATGTTAAGTTCATTAATTTCTTAATACCAACTATGATGAATATACGGTGGATTGATGTTTTGGTCTTTTTGAGTTACATAGGTAAATTTTTAATTTTTATTTGCTGGATACCTTAATTTTTCAAATTTGAATATTTTGAATTTTTTACAGAATATTTGGTTTAATCAAATTTGAATTTTTTGAATTTTTTTATAGAATATTTGGTTTAATGAGTGTGTGTTTGTATTTTTTTTTTTTTTTAATAGGAAATGCTAGGATTAGAAGTTAATTTTCATACATTTCAATACTTGATGCATTTGTTGTTAAGAAATGAGCTTAGAGTACCCAATCCAAAAAAAAGGCCCGTGGATTAGAAATAAAATTGGACTTTGGAAATCAAGGCCCACAGTACCCAACCCAAAAAAAAATTAAAAAATTAAAAAATTGAAAAAAAATCAGTTTAAATAAAAAAACCTGAAAACCGAAAGGGAAACCAAAATTTTGGTTTTAAACTTGAAAAATTGAATTCATTTAATTCTCAATTCAGTTAATCCAAAGGGAAACATGTGTAATTGTTTCTATAATAGTATTAAAAAAAATGCATGTGTAATTGTTGTGATATTTATTAACTTAGAAACCTTAGAATCCCAATTCAGTTAATCCAAAGGGACTAATTAATTTAATTTATTTCTTAAAGAATTATTTTTTTGTTTCTTAAAACAAAAAAAAAAGTAAATTGGTTAAAACGATAAAAAAAAATTTAGTTTTCAAACCGAAATGACTAATTAATTCATCTCTCAAAAAATGAGGGATCAAGATGTAAAAAAAAAAAACATGAATAGAGACTTTAAGTATATAGCTACAATAAATAAATAGTTATATCCTCGCTTTTTTTAATTTTTTTTTTTTATAACTAGGATCATTTATAAATCTTCAATAATCAAATTCTAGGTGAGATGCTGTTCGGACCAGCAAAGCATTGTTTATGGATGAGCGCCGATTAGATCTCGAAATCGAGCCGGAAACATCGATAATCAAACCCCCTTGTAACCCAAATTGTCTTCACTCTCTCGCTAGCTAAATCTCCCTTTTTTCTCTAGAAATCTAATACCCAATCTCCCTCTCTTCCTAAAATAACATTGGAGTAAATGGAAGTTATGAGTTAGAAGAAAATCTTACCTAGTGCTCGAGTAGGCAGTGGCAAAAGCAGGTGATGTGCAAACCAGTGGCAAGATCATTCTGAACCTAGAAACTACAGGAGCTATCTTGGTGTAGCTAGTTCCAACGTATCCTCTTTCAAACTGTTTGGCAAGAATCTCCCACTTTCTTATTGTTTTTTTTTTTTTCTTCGATTTCTCTCTCAATTTCCATTTCTCACTGTTTCTTTTTAATTCTGCTATAACATAATCACTCTACCCACTCCATAATTCCTCTATCTCTTCCTATTAAAACCCTAGATTCTATCCCTATTTATACCCGAGAGACTCTCTTCACCCCTAGGATCAATTCCCACCTCCTTCATAACCAAACAAACCATCTTGCCTATTGTATGTTTTGGCTATGTATGGACAGAGCCAAAATGTGCGTTTAGTGTGTTGTGTTGTGCATTAGTGTTGTTTGTTTTACAGGTACAGTGAAACAGAAGGAATGTACACTATAATTCTCTAATAGAAATTGCATTACAATGAGGAGTTGGCAGCATTATCCCTTTGGCCTGTTGTCTTCATCAATGAAGATGAAACAGAGCAAAAAGGTGGTAGAGTGTAGGAACTAGCGTGCTGGATTTCTGTTGAAGCTTTGACGACAGATTCGTTCGGTGCTCTAAATTGGTCCCGTGATTTGAATTTTTAGTTGATTTAGGTCCTTATTAGTTAGGTTTTATTACAATTATACCATTTAGATGTATCAATATAGTTCATGTACTTTTTAATATCTTCAATTAAGTCCCTGGGTTAAGTAATTGTGATTTTGAAACTTTTGATTGATTTAATTGTATCCCTAATTGCCTCAATTTTAATTTTGCTTTATTCAATTACACCTTTGATTTTGTATTTTGTAATTTTTTGTATTTTCGATTATTTTTCCTTTCCCTTTTTTTCAATATTAGAAATAAAAAATAAAAATAAAAATAGATAACAAATAAAATAAATAAAAGAAGATAAGGATAAAATAAAAGATAAAAAGGATAAAAAGATACATCACTCATTATGAATAATGTTGTGTGGTTTTGTTACCTTTTCCCCTTTTTTTATGTAGATCTCAATTGAGATTTCATATATTTTTGCTCAAACTATAGTTTATGGCATAATCATTTATACATAATGATTGGATTCGAACTGAGCTTTGCTATGATTTTTTGGTACCTATTATTTATGTATTTCGCCTTTTATGGGATAATGGTTGTTTGCATGATACCAAGCCACAACATTTTAGCCATAGTCTCCTCGGCATTTTTTCCAATGTGGAATCTATTCTCTGGATTTATAATCCCCCGACATGTAGATGTTTGCTATCCTTAATGCTTTTCTTTCAAAAGCTATTATATTATAAGATGAGTATCAGTCAACTAACAAATTTAGGAAGTGTGGTTCAAAATGGCAATGGCGATTGTCAAGTGACTATGAAGTGTGATGAAATTTAGGAAGTGTGTTTCAAAATGGCAATGGCGATTGTCAAGTGACTATGAAGTTTGATGAAAGTTTTCTTTTGTGCTGTGTACCTACAAAACAAGTAAGGAACCCTTCGATGCTTAAATTAGCAATCGAAAAGTAGTGAATTGATCTATGAAGGTTCTTTAGCACAAATATGTACTAGTTTGTATGTATTTTAGAAGAGAAAGAATTGTATAGAATGAACCTGTATAGAGAGTGTTTGTATAGCCTAATTTAAATTATTTGTGATTATGTTCCTTACATCCTTTTTCTCTTATGAGAAGTCCTACTTTTATATAAACAGTAGGGGAAGCCTTTTGCATGATAGAGAGGGCACACTACAAGAAAATAGGTTATTAGCAATGGATTTTATCAATAGATTTTATTCAATAACTAAATAGTTACTAAACAATGACGGATTAGCAAGGAAAGTGACAATAGGTAATTTAGCGATAGACTAGTGACGATTTTTATCACTAAATATCATGGGAAAAAAAGTGCCACAATCAACGATCGATTTGCGACATAATTCCATCGTTGATTTAGCGATGGCCACCAAATTCCATTGTTATATTTATCATTGGAAAAAAATACGTAAGCAATATGTCGTTGTTCATCGCTAAGTAGCAATGGATAATAATTCGTTGCTAATTAGCAACGAATAATAAATTCGTCAATGGAAAGTTCTTAGAGAATTTATTGAACAAAGCTATTAGTGGATTTGAAATTCAAATTAGCATCGGATACGTCACCGCCATCGCTAATTAGCAATGGATTAGCAATGGATCATTGAATACATCATTATTTGCACAAACTTCTCAATCTTACCAAAGAATTTGATCCTTGTTCGAAATTTAAGTTAACGATGGAGTAGTGATAGAAACGCATTCATTGCTACTCATTAAATCCTATAAGGCCACTACTTCTCTTCTTCTTACTCATTTCTCCCATTTCCCTCCTTCCCCTCGTTGTCGCCAACCCCAACCAACCCCAAATTGCCCCCCATGCCACTGCACGCCACCCACTCCCTCCCCGACCCACTCAATCCGATCGGGCACATCCTTCTCCCCAACGTCCGTCGGTAAGTAGTCTCTCCTCTACCTCTTTGATCTCTTCGGTAATTTTTTCTCTCTCTACATCTTTAGTTGTTTTTTTAATTACATTAATGTAATTAGTTATTAGGTTAATTTTATTAATTGTTAGTTGGTTAATTGTTTGTTTAATTTCGTTAACTATCGGTTATTTTTTTATTATTAGTTAAATGTTTTTAATTATTACTTGTTAGGTTAAATTTTAATTATGTTAATTTTTATATTAGTTATTAGTTTAAAATTTTTAATTATTTATTTAATTTTTTTTAATTATTAGATTAATTTTGTTAAGTGTTAGTGTTAGGTTAAATTTTGTTTATGTAATTTTTAATTTAATTTAGATAAGGTTGATCAATTGTTAATTTATTTGTTATTAATTGTTAGGTTAAAATTTAGTTATTTAATTGTTATTTTTTATTTTAAATTTATTTATTTATTTTAATTATTAGTTGAATTTTATTAATTCTTAGTGTTAGGTTAAATTTTAATTATGTAATTTTTTAGGTTATTTAGATAAATTGGTTCATTAATAGTTCAATTATTTTTTATTAATTGGTTGGCTAATTTTTTTTAATTTATCATTAATTTTTATTTTTTAATTAGTTGTTAGGTTAATATTTTTAATTTGTTTGCTGTTATTTTTAAATTTAAATAATATTTAAATTTGGATTAATGTGATTAGTTTGGATTAATTTAATTTAATTAATTTGATTTATGGTTAGTTTGAATATAAATGCTAGACGTAATTATTATGGCTTAATTATCAAAAATGAAGGAAGACACATAATGATCGGTATTCAATTAAACAAAGAATCCATCGTTTTTCTTTCTTTCAATTTATTTAATTTTTTAAGAAATAAATATGAAAGAAAAATAATTTTTTTAACAAATTAAAGTATAAACCAACATTATAGCTCCAAGTGACCAAAATCAATCAAAAATAAACAATCCGTTGTTTTTCTTTCTTTCAATTTTTTATTTTTATTTTTATTTATTTATTTATTTATTTATTTATTTTTGTCAATCAACATTGAATTGGTCATTCACATTTTTTAGCAAATAAAAAATTGAAATCCTTCTTTAATCAACATGTTATAATTGAAGATTTAATCAAAAATATTAACCCGATTGAAATACGGTTAAAATTTAATAAAAATTTGATTTAAGATTAATTTAATTATATTTGGTTGAATTTATTATTAAATTAATTGAGAAAATTTAATAAACATAAACATATTTAGTTTCGATGTAGATAACTTTTCATTAATTAAAAGAAATTTTTAAATATAATTTATTTAATTTAAAATATTTTCAACTATTTAATAGAATATTATTTTTTGGTGGGTTCTTTTATTAGAGAAAATAAAATTTAATGAAAGTGTTTAATTGGTATAATAAAAAAAGACAAGCATAAAAAAATAATAACAATAAAGTTCATGAACTCAATTGAAATAAAGTGAAAATAGGCATACTAATAGCAAATTAGGGTACAACATGTAAAAAAAAAAAATTACACCATTAATCACTCAATATTTTAAAGTTCAATATTTAAGAATAAAAAGCAATAGAAAGAAGATGTAACCATTCTTTAAACAATCAATTAAATATGAAGTCAAATTTTTAAAACAAAAATTTCTAGCAAGTACCCTTAATTACACAATATATATATATACTTAATTTTTATTTAAAATTCATATGAATGTTGGTAATTAATTGTTTGCATCTCGTTGTGTAATTTTTGCAGTAATTATAAAAATGAGATCCAATTGACAATTGATGAATATTAGGTTTGCTATTGAGCATCCCGAATGTATGGATGAAACCAAAATTAGGTGTTCTTATAACTACAATAAGTTTCGGAATAGAAATTATAAGGAGGTCTGAAATGATAAAATATCACTTGTGTCATAAGGGTTTTGTATCGAAATATTATGATTGGATACATCATAAAGAATTTGAGTCCTACATGGCATATATTGATTTTAGGAGTCATTATGTTTCTAGAAATTATTATGAAGGCGAAGGTAGTTCTAGTTAACCCTAAAACCCATATCAAACTATGGTAATGGATGTAGCTAATCCATCCTTCAATCTGTCTAGCATGAAAAAAATTCCAAATCCTAGTGCCTAGCACTTTTATGATATGTTGAATGCATCCCATAGAAAGATTTGGCTCGGTTGTGGCGAGCACTCCCAATTATCGGTAGTTGCTCAAATATTGAATCTAAAAGCCGAATACATTTTTTTTAAAAGTGTTTAGATAAGTTATGTGGGCTAATATACGAGTTAATGCCGATCGATAATCGTATGACGAGTAACTTTTATGAAACAAAAAAGTT